TCAAACTTTTGGTGTCGATCATTCGATTTCATCCTGGACACTACAGAAAATGGGCTTAAAGTGTAAAAAACCGAACTTCTCCTTTAAGAGCAAATGCACTTATTTTAAGAAAAAGTGACTTATTTAGATTTAAATTTTTTGCATTAGAGTTTTAACAAGGTATAACTTTGGGCATTGTTTTGTGTAAAACAAATCCCAAGAAAGTTGAGTCTAAATGTGCAAAGTTTGTAGGGATATAACTCAAAAGATTTAAAGCTGTTATTGCAGAGGGAGGTGGTTTTGGACAAATGATCTAGTCTAGACTAACCTCACAACCGAGATGCAATGCACTTTATCACGGAGACTTTAAATCTCTGGAATAAATCTGCTCATTTATTTGTGCCCATAAAATATTTTCTAACAAACAGAAATGCCTACATTATGTCCGCTCTTTCCTTCGTCTCTGTTGTTGAACTGATTGATGCTCCTTACAGTTTACATTGCTTTTCATATTTAGGATCCCATCTTTTTAATTTACAATAACAGTATCCGTATCCACCCATGCATAGCTCAGTCAGATTTCTGTAACTCTTCGTAGAAAATAATTTTAGGTTCTCTGTGTTTACCACATTTAATTCTCTGTGTTTACCACATTTAATGTTGGCAGGTTGCTCTGTCCCATCATTTAAAAGAAATAAAACTTTTTCCAGCAAACTGCGTTGCAATAAAACCCCTATAGACATGCAAACTCTACTGGATAAAACAAACAAAAAAGAGCTTCTACATTTTCCACAGCAGGATACAGACTGTGGTTAATGCCTCACTGGGGCACTTTGAAACCAGATGGAGCCGATCCCACACAAAGCAATATGAAAAGAACAGAGAGGAGGGTGGCAGGCGGGGGATCGGGGACAATCGCTGATTAACTTGGCAATTTTCCACTCTAAGATTTATTGTGAGGTTCATTAACATGAGGCGACACACCTCAGTGTTCACACAGGTTGTACTGCGCAAGCAGCTGAGTATTGCTTTGGAGCAGTAAGTCATTTCTTGATTGGGTTTAGTAGTAACAACAGGGTTACTAGGTTTAATGTTTCCCGGGGGATTTGTTAGACATCAAAGTGGAGGGAGAGGAGGTGGGTGGGGGGGTGCTGCAGACTCTATAAAGGTGTCACGGACAGTTGGCTTAGCGCTTTTCTTCTTGAGGCCTTTCTAATATTAGAGCCGCCTCGGGCGACTTCCGCAGAGCACTATCCCATTTTCACATGTTGCCATGATATAAGATTGATGCGCTGTGTCTCTGGCTTCAGGGCTCAGGATGTCGTTTCACCTGCACTGCACTGACAGGTGCTGACAGGCCGTTTGGAGACAATTTGTGGGTAATAGTCAGGTCAAAACCTAACACTGGATTTGTCGGTGCACCTTTCAACAAGCTCTTAATATTACATTCTGTCAACAGAGAAGCATCAAGGTGAGACGCAGCTCTAGAAAATGAGATTGTTTGTACAAACCTGTATGTTTTGGATTGTTTGTGCCTGAGGCAGAGTACCGCAACTCACTTTCCGCTTCCTCCTCATTTTTTCCTCCGCTGTAATGGCTTCACAGCTCATCAGAAATGGTAGATAATGCCCTGAAGATGAAGGGTAGACTGTCTTTGTTTAGATGCTTTAAACCCACTTTTTTTTTTACAAGTGACTCATTTATTTTCTTTAAGAAACAGATATATGCCATTTGTACTGGTCAAATCTGGTGAGGCGAAGAAACAAAAAGTTTAACTTTAAATGAAAATGTTTGAGATAGAACAGAAGTGCCTGAGTCAGTGTTACTCTCTCTTTCAGCTTACACCCAGATTCAGGCTCATCCTCTGGTTCAGCAGCACAAACAGCAGCAGCAGTTCGTAGTCCAGCAGAGCCAAGGTTCCCAAAGGACAACAGGCCAGCTGCTGCAGACTTCCTCCATTCAGGCATCACAGGCCCCTGTGCCTGTTCTACCCAAGCCTGCGCCTCAGCAGCCCTCCACTCCCAGCCAGCAGGCCACCATCTTCCACTCCACCCTCAGCCCTCATGCTCTTCACTCCTCACTTAACCAAGCCAAGGCTCAGCCAGTCCAACTCACAGCGATCAACCTGCAAATACAGCCAACGGTTAGATGCCAATCTTCAAATACAGTGAAATCTTTTGGTTATTTTTGTACATCTTAATGAGATAATCCAGTCTCAAAATGGAATAATACCTTGTTTTGACGGAGTATTAGGGCTAGGCTAGAGATTTATTTTATTTTATTTTGAGAATAAAGTTTGTTGTTTTACTAGAATTAAGTTGTAATTTTACGAGAATAAAGTCATAACATTACGAGAATAAAGTCGTAATATTACAGGAATGAAGTCATCATACCACAACCCCTTTCAGAAAGAAAACTTCAAGCTCTGACCAGCATATGACTGACAACCAGCACCACCAAACAGCAGCCTGAGTCCACTTTGACATACTGCCCAGTATGATTTCCTTGTTTGTAAAACCAAAGCCAAAGTATAACTTCACATAATGCTTGACATTCCTCATTTTAGGGAAGACGGTGCTTCTTTTAAGAGTTTTCGTAAAATACAACTTTATTCTTGCAATTTTAGCACTTTATTCTCTTAATATTCCTACTTTATTCTCGTAATTTATATTCTCGACTATTCTCGTTTTGACTTTTTTCTCGTTGTGACTTTGTTCTTGTAATTCTCGTAATTTTATCACTTTATTCTCATAGTTTTATGACTATTGTCGCTGCAATTTTATTCTTGTAATTTTATATCTTCTTGTAATTTTTTGACTAGGCTCGTTTTGACTTTGTTCTCGTAATTTTATGACTTCATTCTCCTAGTGTTGTGACTTTATTCTCAAAGTTTTACGACTTTATTCCTGTAATTTTATTACATTATTCTCATAATTTTATTACTTCATTCTCATTTTATTACTTTATTCTCATAATGTTACAACTTTATTCTCATAATTTTATGAATATTCTCGTTGCGACCTTACTCTCGTAAGTTTATGACTATTCTCAATGCGACTTTATTATTGTAATTTAAAGACTTTATTCTCATAATTTTACAACTTTATTCTTGTAATTTATGACTATTCTCCTTGATGACTTTGTTCTCGTAATTTTATGACTTTATTCTCCTCGTGTTGCGACTTAATTCTGGTAATAAGACGACTTTATTCTGGAAATAAATAAAACAAAAAATCTGTAGCCTGATCCTAATACTCAGTTGTACATTGTGACCTGGTTTGTAAAATGACTAAAAGAAATTGTGCTTTTACTTCTACCATGACTGCACATTACCAAAACTGTAAGATTTAACACATAATTCACTCTGAAATGGAAGTATTTCACATGCTTGGTAGGTCAGCACAGACTCACATATAAAGGCTCACATATTTGTCTGCCTTTTTTTTTTTTTTATCTTTCTGCTTTTAGACCCCACGACCTGTTCAGGACATTAAAGATAAGCCAACCTCGTTAGTAGTTAGAGAGACGTGTCAGACACCATCGAATCAGCAGCAGCAAAGACCTGCATCTTCTCCATCACAGCCCTTCAAGCCTGCAGATCAGCCAAAGGTTAACGCTGCCACCCCACCTGTTCCAGCACAAGGTAAAGGCTTGGCAGGATTTACTAAAACTCTGTTGGCCATATATCGTAGGTTTAACCTGCTTCTCTCCCTCTCAAGCTCGATCTTTAAAATGGTTTTGATCTAAAGTTGATGCTGTTTTATTTTTCTGCTTGTTTACACTTGGATTAAAAGGGACGTTTTGTTGGTTTGTTACTACACTTGGGTGTTTTTACTATTCATTTACTTATCTAAATGAATAATTTAGAATGTAAAGAGTTTAAAGTAGTGCTGTTCTCATGATATGAGCCCAGATTTCAGATTTCTAAATTTCATAGTGCAGTTTGGAAACTGCAGGTCGTAGTAAAAGTAGACCTGCATGGCAAAGACACTTTGAGTGTAAGAAAGCCAAACCCATTCTTTTTCTCAACCCCTTTTACTCTATTTGATTAGTATGTGTAAAAATTTAAAGAGCTGCTTGTACAAAAAAAAATTGCAACAGAAACTATAGTTAATCAGACACCAAAAAATAAACTAGTGTTTGTGTTGTGTTTTTTGTGCTTTTTTAAGAAAGATGCTTCAGATGCAGATTGGTCAGTTGATACAATAGACACTAAACATATTTTAAAAATATTTTTTTTATAAATTCGGGCCAAAATGGAGTTTACGGTAAATTGGAATCTGATTTAAAACACAAAGAAAAAAGAAAAGCATATTTGTTAAGCCTGTTTCTGTCAGAATCAACCTTTACATCCAGCGGTAAAACTGACTTTATTACTCAATCAAGTGAAAAGATATTAGTACCTGGGCCTCTTATTGTCTGGTTGTACATTAACTTGGTATTAAACTCTGAGCTTCATTTAAAGGTCCAACAATTATGCTTTTAATTTAAAGACCAACTTTAATGATTATAAAGCTTCTGCTGTCATTTTTCTCTTTACATTATTCAATATAACACTCTAGTGGTTGCTAATGCCAAGTCATGCTAGAAAGCAGAATGGTACAGCAAGCAGAGTTTTTATTTTAGTTTTCTGATTCTGTTGATGTGTGTTTCAGAGGAAAGTGGAGACGGTTTGAATATTGTTGAATTTACCAGCAAGGAATCAACCAGTGATGAGAATCCTTCAGCACATACTCGGTTACCCCTACCTCAGTTGTCGATCGTCTCTGTTAACAAAGAGTGCATGACCGGACCACGTCAGCTGACTAATTTCACAGGTTTCCCGGGGTGTCCGGCTTTGTAATTCACCAATCTCTTAACCTGTTTACAACACAAACTTCTTCTCTGCCATTTTAAAAGTAAATGATATTAAAAGAGCATGGACCTAGGATGATGCAGATGCCGAGGCTCTCATTGAAATTTGGGCGAGGACGCTAACTAGGCACATAAGTTCCTGAATGTTAGGGGCGCTGCCATTTTTGTTTTGTAATTCCTGCCTTGACAGCTGTAGTATTGTGGAGCACTGATAGGAGGCGAGGAACCGTGCTAGCTTGAAGTGTAAATGATCTTACGAATAAAGCAAGGTACGGTTAACTGATACAAGCTCGGTGTGAAGTCGGTACAGAATGGTTTCAGAGGGGTAATGTACAATTATACTTCTGCAACCGCACACATCAAATGTCGCTTGCGTCTGGTCACGAACACATCTTTGCTGGTATGCTTCTGCGACGTCGGTCTGGAATTTCTACGGACGCACAGCAGTTTTCCGCCAAAGCGCAAGGGGGAGCCTATTCGAGAACTCGTGAGAACTTCTTTGGCGACGCTGGCGGGAGTGTTTATTTTCTAAAACTACATGTCTGAGGCATCGTACAAGTGGTTGTACTTCGTGGTTGTACTTCCAAACCTCCTCGATCAACCTTTCGTGGTGGTTATCCATTATTGTTATTACTTCTCAGTTTTTAAAAATGGCGCGCCCTGACACAGAACCGAGAAGGACGACCACACATACAGCAGGAAAGGCATACCAAGGATCAATCACAGCTGCTTTTTGTCTGCGCACTTCCTCTTGAGGTCTGCACAGGTTTGCGACCGTCGGACGTGTAGTCAGGATTTTTTTGAGTTGTGCAGTGACGGTTGAAGAACCTCTGCGTGGGGGGCGTGGTCGTGCACAGAGACATATATGACGGTTACAGAGGCTATGAATTAGAAGTATAGTTTGGCCTTAAATGGGGCAATGGACAACTGGAATTCAGGGTAAATCCACATAGTCTGTATGAAAACCCTAATGGTGATAAAGTTTGAATCAGCAGTTACTTAGCTTCTAACCAGCATAAGCACAATGGGCCAAAACTAAAGTTTTAAGCAAGTATAGCTAGTTTGGTGCAAGAAACAGTTCCACCACACTGTTGCAAGTGATCATCATGGTGAGGAAGTGTGAAAGAAATAAAATTTAACTTAACTACTGCAGTAGAGAATATCTTTGGATATATAAGGATGCTAATTATTTAACAGCAAATTGATCTTTAAATTCTCAAACCAAGTTGCAAGGGATCCTTTTTTTTTTCCTTTGGTTTTTGTTTCTTTTTTTCCATTATGCCACTAGACAGAGGTCAACAGATGGGGGTGTCCCCCTATTAAATCATTTTTGGTATATTTGTTTTGTCTCCACCAACATCTCTGCTCTACAGGTTTGCATTTTTGGATGTTTTCTTGCCATCTCATGTTAATCCCCATTACGGGGTGTTGCTGTTTGAAAATTATAATGGATTCTCTTAATCTTTTAAAATGCCTATATCAGTTTATTGAATTATTTATGTGATGGTATGTATTGCTAAAACAATGATTCAACAAACATGACCCGGTTTAAGAGTTAAATAAGGTTTTAAAAAGAATGTGAAAATGTGTGATTTTATTAATCAGTGTTGGAGCTGGGACAGTTGCAGCATTTGAGAAAACTGCTTGATCATGCTTCTAAATATTGCCATCATACGGGTGTGCATGGGACAGATATGAGTTTGATATGTTTAAAATATATGAGGGGAAGATGGAGCGGGAGATCGACGGGCGGATTGGTGCGGCGTCTGCTGTGAAGCGTACCGATCTGTTGTGGTGAAGAGAAAGCTGAGCCAAAAAGCAAAGCTCTCGATTTACCTGTCGATCTTCGTTCCTACCCTAACCTATGTTCATGACCGAACTAACAAAATCCTGGATACAAGCGGCTGAAACGAGTTTTCTCTGTAGTGTGTCTGGGCTTTCCCTTAGAGATAGGGTGAGGAGCTTAGTCATCCGGGAAGGACTCAGAGTAGATTCGCTGCTCCTCCACATCGAGAGGAGCCAGTTGAGGTGGCTCAGGCATTTGATTAGGATGCCTCCTGGACGTTTCCCTGGTGAGGTGTTCCAGGCACATCCCACAGGGAGGAGGCCCAGGGGGAGACCCACGCTGGAGGGACTATGTTTCTCGGCTGGCCTGGGATTGCCTTGGGATTCCCCCAGGAGCTGGCCTAAGTGGCTGGAGAGAGGGACGTCTGGTCCTCCCTACTGAAGCTGCTACCCCCGCAACCTGACCCCGGAAAAGAGGAAGAAGATGGATGGATGGATGGATGGATGGATGGATGGATGTTTAAAATATTGTCATTCTGAAAAAAATGGCATATAAGAAATTGAGGGAAAAGTAAACAGTTCTAGCTGCCCCACCTATACCCTACATTAAGCAGCATCCCTGTGCATTTATATTATTACAAATTACTGGAATGCTATACAGTTTCATGTTTTTTTTTTTGTTTTTTTTTTTTTATTTTTATTTCCATGTAAATCAGCCAATTGGATGAAGTCTAGATTAAAAGTGATGCAAAGATAATGAGAACAGTCTTTGTATTATCACAGTCAAATTTGATAGCATCCTGCAGCCAATTTGAAGTACTGGGTTACTTTAATCTTGTGTGAAAAGATAAGTTTGTTGCGAAGAGATGAATGCTCTCCTGGATAATGGCTTGAATGAACAACCTAGCATTTTCCTAGTATTTGTTTACTATAGTTTTAGGTTTATTCTTTATTAATCATGTGTTTTATTAATCTCTTAGCTAGATTAGATGAAGTAGAAGGCCTTCCTTCACATGGTGGATTACACTGTGTGTACAGAGGCCATCTAATGAGGACAGTCTCCTGTCTTTGGAAGATACACAGGATAAGGAGACATCCTGGAGCCGGACTGATAGAGGAGAGCTATCTGTAATCCTGAAGAGGCACGAAGGTCAGGGCATGGATGGCGTGTCAGTTTCTGACACCAACAGCTAAGCATTCACCTGATGCAACACATAGACTCATGAGGTATAAGAAGCAGGAGATGACCTTGTTCGGAGCTCATTTTTGCCTGATGCTGACGTTTGCTGACGTGTTGAGCTCACAGCTGTGCCGACTCCAAGCAATTTCTCTGTCCTGTAAAGACCACAACTGGAATAAACTCTGTTACTTTTTTTTACTATTGTTTTATAGTCCTTTTTATACGACTTTACCCAGTTTGAGTTAAGAATAATTATACTAGGTTACTTGCTCCCAGGAAAAGAACTGGAAGGAAAGTTCTGAGGTGTAACCACCTTCAGGGGGACCTAACTTCCTTATTTAACAATAGCATAAAATAGTGATTTTCTTTTAATCATAAGGTTATTAAAGGTTGATTTAAATCATAGAGTTTTTTTGTACCTTTATTTATTGTGAAAGATACCNGTAAAGAGTTAAAAAAAAAAAAAAATTAAATACTGTACTGTAGTGTTTGCACAATATAAAAATACTGTGCAATGATGGATACTTGAAAACAGCAACATCAGAGATGTGCAAAATGACAGCAGCATGCTATTTAACTAAGGTAGAAACTGCAAAATAATTTCTTATCATTTATTGGAGAAATATCTGCTAACACGTGTTTCCAGTTGTTTAGTCTGCAACCAAAGGCTGATTATTTCGGTGTTTCCCAAAGAAGGAAGAAAAACCAGTTGATCTGCAGTGAATAATAGAGCAGCTACTATGGGAGGAAAGCTGGGGGGGCGGGTCCTGCTTTCACACACTTTTCCTCAGGGGGGTGAGAAGAAGCACAGCCCCCAGTCTGAGTGCAGCTGTGTCGCTCTAATCATTAGAACAACAAACCAACAAACCAAACAGCTCCATGTTCTCCGGCTGAACAGCGCGGAAGTTGCGCGGTAAGAAAACTATCATTCATGAGCGTATGGACGCGGAATGATGAAGCATGGCGGCTTGCTGTTTACTCTGCTTACTGAGCATTTTATCCGATAATCGCAGCTTCTATCAGCGCGGTGCAAATGTCAGCAGATAGCGGCGCCTTTTGTCCATAACTCACTGTTTAATACCTTTAGAAGTTCATTTAGGACATTTGGGAGCGATGTTTTAATTACTATGCAGGTGGAACTGGTCGTGCTTTAATATATATATATGTATATATAATTAATGTCCACAATGCACATATGCTACTGATGGTCATTAAAAAACTGTTGCCAAACGAAACGAGATGACGTCATTCACGTGAATAGCAGATATCGCCAGTGCTGCTTTAAGGTTCATATGCTGGAGCCCTGCATGGGAAGAAAAATCTGAATCTAGAGAAGTCATTTTTTTTTTTTTTTAAATAATTGCATTTGTTCTTGGATTGAGGAGGTAAAAGAGACATTTTGCCAATCGAGCAAGACCATTTCACATAAGAAAACACAATTGCATCGTCTTATTTTAACTGCATTTTATCTAAATGTCTTATTTTAAGAGTAAAAATATTAATTCCATTGGCAGATCATCTTATTTACCTACTCAAATTAAGGGTAAATACACTTAATTTAAGACGTTTTGACTTATTTCCAGATCGTTTTTCCAGTGTGTTTTTTTTAATCTTGTTTTATCCAGACATATTATATAATTGCATGAATTTGCAATTAATGCAAACTTATAAATTGCTCCTCTGGTTCTTTATTTTAATGCTGATCTCAAGCATTAAAATAAAATTATTTGCAAAACTAAAATAAAGCTAAACTATAAGTTTTACTTGAGCTCTGATATTTATGACTGATGATTTAAAAAAGCCAACTTTGTAGAATTTTGGCTGTCATTTAGGAGTAAGTTATGCTGCTCAAGTTGGAACATATATTTTAATATTGTTTTGTTTTTGTCTAAGAACTAAAGGACTTCCCTCTGTGGATCAAAGTTGTTTCTTTTGTCCTGTTCTTTTTCTTTTGTTGCAGCTAGAGGGATTGTTGCAGAAGCCTTTTTGCTTTGGGGCATGTTTTACAATGCAACCATAGCAACCGGTTAATTCTTACATCTGGGAGCAGCTGATTAACATCTCAAAAAGCTGAAGTAATATTTAACCATCTCTGTAAATCCCAGATAAATTAAGGAAGAGGTACGCAGCATGTCGAGTAGGAGCAAAGAAAGGGCTAGGGTGAAATTAAGGCCATCTGGTCAATTCATTAGTTTGGGAAAAGAGAGAACTTTGGGAAAATAAGTTGGATGAAGTCTAAGCCCCAATAAGGACCTAGCAAGAACTTCAGAACTGCCATATTCTGTTTGAGTGTAACATAGCTGGAGGATCATTTCCCTGACGCCAGGATCTCTCTCCTTGCTGGGCTTACTAACCCAGTCTGTGAGCAGACAGGTTTAAAGAAGAATGGTAAAAGTAAAGCAGGTAGATTCAGCTAAGGGGAGTGGTGGCCTAGTGGTTGGGGCATTGTGCTTGGCCCCCAGAGGAGTTGAATTCAAGCCCCACTCCCAAAGACTTGCTCCCTCAGCAAGACCCTTAACCCCACTCTGCTCCCCAGTTGCCACACAGAGGCAGCCCACTGCTCCCCCAAGGGGATGAGTTAAATACAAAGGTAAATTTTTCCAGTGTGAGATAAATGAACATTCAATTATTATTATTATTATTATTATTTTTATTATTATTCACAGCTCTCAGAAAAACGGATGGTCTCATTTAGGGCTTGTTTCTGTGAAGTTGTGTCCCTGCAGCCCAGATACTGAACTATTTATTGTATGTTGTGTCAATCTTTTTTACCCACAAAGTTCACAAGTGTTATTTTAGTGCCTTTTTACATTCCATCACAAGCTATTACCAATACTGCACATGATGATATCTGCACAGTTGTTGGCAAGCTATGCGCACAATACTCCAATGCATGTGTGCATTATTATGTCTCACTCTTTGCTATATGTCCATCAGTTTTTCAGCTGCTATGCCAGTCAAAACAAAACTTTGGTCTTACTTTATGCAAATGTCAAGGACCGGTATATTTCCAAACCAAGACCACCTCCTTGCAAATTAGGTGGGACCTTGTTTTTCCTCTGCTCAGAATATAAACTCTATTTATAAAGGCAATAAAGAAATAAAATAAATAACTGGGCACGGGAAACTAAAGAAGCAAGGTTGTTTTAAGGCTGCTGATTGAGATGCACTGTGCCAGGCACATGAAGAAGACATCAATGCAATGACTGAGGGATTGGCTGCCTATATTAACTGCTTAGGTCCTTCAGTGTTTGCAACAGATCCTCAGTAAGATTCTTGTGATTGGCATGATCTCTTCCACTTAAGTCTGAAGAATTAGCAGCATCAGGGCTATGGAAATAAATGTCTACAAGCGAATAAGTCTGGCATTATTATTGGGAGTCTCCTGGAACAACTTTGGAAGATTTTACAGAAAGGTCTTTAGAGAAATTTACAGATATGCCTGAGTATTCTTTAGATTGTTGTCCGACTACAGCGTGTCCTCCGTCAAAGGCTTCTCCAGAGCTGCTGTTAGAATAACCTTTACAGTAGATCCACCTGTTTACAATTATAAGCAAATATAACATCTCCTTGAAGATATCATATGAGTTACAACAATAATTAATTTTCCTTTGGGATGAAGTAATTTTGAATCGAATTAAAATGTCAAACATGTTCCTCTGGGAGCTTACTAAACAAACTTGTATGTGCCGTCTTGCTCTTTAAAATCTCTTGCAATCCATCAGCAGTCTAACCCAATTTAAACAGACATTTCTCTGCTGTTTCATTCTGAGCGTTTTTTGTCTCAATTTCTTGCTCAGAAGGCGGCTCAGCCAAGAGGCCAAGTGTAACGCATGGGACCCCACCTCCAGCTATGACCTCTGGAAATGAGAGCGAAGCGCCCACCGTGACGGGCAGCGCGCCGCAAAATGGAGAGAACAAACCGCCCCAGGCCATCGTCAAACCCCAGGTCCTCACACATGTCATCGAAGGCTTCGTCATCCAGGAGGGAGCGGAGCCATTTCCTGTGTGTGTAAGTGCCCCCGACCTCTGATTTACTGGCAGAAAAACGCGGTAAACAACCAAGAGCCAGCATGCTCTCCAGTGTACATGCCTGCAGGGAGCTGTCAGCAGGCAGACACAAACGCTCTGCCGGTGCTTGTAGTGACGGCTCACAGTGGCTGCTTGAATCAGTCTTTAATTACAGGGAGCTGCGGGTCTGTGTTGGTGGCAGAACACAGATGGATGCTGGTATAAAGTTTTAAATAATTGCCCATTTTACTAATGATCTAAAAATTCTACCCCTTATTGCCTCACATACCTTAAAGTTATGTTTCTCTCTTTAATTTACAATTTCATCTGTAATTCTGAAATTATTCCAAAAATCAAATAATTTTAATTCAAAAGTGGAAAAACTGCAAATTCAAAATCTCTCCTGGTCTGCCTCCTTCTGGACGGTTGGTGTAAATGCCTCCGTTATTTAGATACTTGGGGGTTAAATGGAGCTTTTTTTTAATTTTATTTTTTTTATTAAAAGACTTAAAGAAAATGTTAGTGGTTAAACACTCAGCTTTTACAGTAATAAAAAATCTGCCAGAGACAAGCTGCTTTGAGCATTAGGACAGAATTCACTGTTTTTGCTGTTAAGATGACAGCAGATTCCTGTATTTTAAGTAATTAATTTAAAGTAACTTTTAAATAATTCACATTAATCACAAACAATGTTATACTTTATGCATTTGTTTTCTTTTACTTTTAAAGGTTATGAAAACCTTTAGGGCTGCAACTAACAGTTATTTAAATAATCGATTAATCTGTCGATTAATTTTTGATCAATCGATTAATAGTCAGATGGCATAAGATTCCTTAAAGATTGTTTTTACAGAATTAAACTAGATGAAACTAACATTTTTTTTTTTCCACTTGAGGAATTTTGGATAGAACATATCGCCAGATGAAAATTTTTTTTTATACATTTCATATACTATTTACTTACAATTTTGGTATAATTACTGCTCTAAGTGGTTTGCTCTGTCAGATTAAGGAATATTTTAGAGTCTCTATATTAACGATACACTAAATTAGTAGACGATTATTTTGATTAATGACCCTAAATCCAGTTAATTGTTTCTGACTTATAAGATATCTTGCTCTGCTGAATTCCATGTCGACGTGCTGTGTAATACCAAAGGTCAATCAATACTTGATCATAACTCCTTTTTGGAATGGCTACAGCATCAATGCAATGAGGCATGGAGAAGATCAGACTGTGGCTCTGCTAAGAACGTAAACGTATATCAATAACTAGACCACCTGTGTCTAATTTAGGGCTGTGAAAATAATGAAAACTTTGATATAACGCTTAAAAAAAAAAAAAGCATTCCATTATACTTAATTTTAAAATCAATACACAAGGACCCTTTCACTTTTTCCTAAACTGTCACACTGCTTTTGGCCGCCATGTGCTCAGCACCCTCTGCAGCTTCATGAGACCATAAAAATACTGGAAGTTTGAAATTATGCAAACATGAGTGTAAAACCCGTAGAAGCAAGTGAACCTACAATCAACAAGGCAAGGACAAAAAAAAAGAAGAAATGTGGGTTTTTACAGCACAATAATTCAAATTACCTGAAAAAAAAAGGCTTGGAGGGTATGATTAAGAAGCATTTCACTATTTTAAATGATAAACTGAGAAAACTCGCCTTATGATTATATATTGGAGAAGCATGTATTTGACATTTTAACTAGGGATGCATGGAAAATTCTTGGCCGAATCCAAAAACTAAAAGTAGAGAACTGAAACACTGAAAGAAATTTTGTCAATTATTAGAACCATGGCATTTTTGGCTCCGTTGTGTACTAAGCTTACTAAAACCAAATCATGACAAAAAAATCAGTTACAAAAGCATCAAAATATTTATTTGCCACTGATATTTTTATGTTATGCCTTTTGATTTTGCATATTCACCGGGAAACCTCTTACCTTTTCTAAAACATCACCATGGCATGTTTGGCAAATCCCCATCCATGGGTCTTTCTCAGAGATGGTGAAATAAGTCCAACCTGTAGGCATGTGGCTCTTATCCCTTCGCCTCGTCATCACAAGTTTCTTTTGGGGTAAAATTTCAAAAACCAAAAATGCATCTTTGGGTCTTTTTGGCCGAATTTTCAGTGCATTCCTAATTCTTACTGATCACAGGTTCTGAGCTTTATTTCTTCTTTTTGTTGTTCTCTTTATTTAATGTTTTAATTCTGACTCTAGGTGGAGCGTCTGCCGATTCTCATCGATAGCCCAAAGAAACTGGATCATCAGCTGTCCTCAGACCCAGACAAAACTCCCCTCAGCAATGCAGCGAACAGCGACTCCGAGCCTGAGGACATGAACCAACCAGGTGAGACCAAACAGATTAAAGCTGAACAGTTTGTCTACTTTTATTCGTGCAGGTTCATCCTGTTACAGCAGTGGATTATCCCACTCTCTGTTCCCATATTTCCTGGATCCATCTTCAAGAAAGGCGTAAAATTTGTGAAATCATGCTCACAACGGTGACAGCTCACTTCACCTGCTGTATCATAAATAGAAAATGGGCTCTTCTAGCTTCCTAATTTTATGCATCTATTCACCAAACCAATTACCCTGCACCTGGCTCCCAGCCAGTCTACAACAACCTGCTAAATAACATGGCTTCCTCTCTGCACAGGATGCTTTACCTGATTTCTATGATGGCTCTGCTGAATTCTGTTGAAAGGTTTGATCATGTAAACCAAGGAGAATGCAGAAGAAGTATCTCATATCTTTGTACAAGAGAGGCTAATCATTTTTAAACTGTAGATCCATTTTCCATGTGCTGTGTTCCACATACTGGAACCAAGCATCAGCTGCATATATCGGATCAGGAAAATTTAATGTGAACAATACTTTTTAAATATTTACTTCATGAACACATGTTTTATTTGTATGCACTATTTTCAGTGTTTGATGTTCACATTTTGGAATCACTTTCCTTCAACTAAGTCTCTCCTTTGCAAAAATCAACCTCTAGTTTTAGTGTCTAATGTTTGTTTGTTTTGTCTTTCCGCACAGAAAAAGAAGAACCCAAGCTGACCTGTGAGTACTGCGGCTGCGTGGATTTTGCGTACACCTTCAAGGGATCGAAGAGGTTCTGCTCTGTGGTTTGTGCAAAAAGGTAAGTTGATTAAGTGTTTAAATTCCTTCCTTTATGTATGGATTTACTGACCAAAGCGTTTACTGACCACGGTATCAAAACCATTCTGACATTAGATCTAAATAAAATTAAGATTTCTTTTATTAATTATTTGAACTTAACATGCAATACGGTTAGCAGGGATTACTGTATTCCGGCCCCGTAGCGATCGCCCGTGGGTTAAAAAAATAAATAAAAATCATTCAAATAAATTGGCGGTAAATAAATTTTAAAAAGACATGCGAAATCCCTCTTGCGTTTCTCAGCCAGTGGTAGCAAAGGAGCGCTCTGAAACTAACCGTATTGGCGAAACAGAAGAAGAAGGGGGCGGGTGCTGTTCACGTTTGCCAGGAGCTACGGCAACAGCTGATTTACATGCGTCAATAACTGATCGTGTATGCGAGTTGGAAATAAGGGTTTGTGCTTTCCTAACTGAACACGACCTCTCATTCACAATAGATATAGATGCACTTTTGCCATCTTCTGGCCGTTTTTGGTATTGGATTTTGAAAAGTTGCATTTAGACTTCAATTATTCATGCAATCTGTGATCCCATGACCCCCACACACATCGCCAATACGGTTAGTTTCAGGCTCTCCTCCAGTGCCTGGAAATCATTTACAGGCTTCATAGTGGATACTGTTTTTGGAATCTGTCCTAAAGGTTTTAGGGGCAAAATATAGGTGAGATAATTTTAGCCCCCTCCTTCTGTGTCAAGGATTTACAGCTGATTGTTGCATTTAAAGAACATGTGTAAATAACAGAACAAAAGGGGCTTTTCTGCTAGGAGAAAAGGGCCATGATTCCAGCTAAATATAGTAAAAGGTCATGGAATTTGCTAAAGAAAATGTATATTAAGGCAATGTATGTAAAATACATAAAAAAAAATCTGCCAATTAGCAAATTTAAAAACATATAGCTAATGGCCTATGTATAATCAAGCTGAGAGGAAAAGTGTAATGTAGATTCTATAAAAACTAGATTTAACTGGAGACTTTGTTTTTTAACAGGTACAACGTGGGCTGTACAAAACGGGTTGGACTTTTTCGTCCTGAGAAGAATAAATCAAGTCGGTGGCGTAAAAGGTCTCATGGACGTTCCAGTATAGAAGCAAAGAAGCAGGTAAAGATGCTCAGACGTTTGTTTGGTGTTATTGCTTATACTTTTTACTCCTTGGTTAAGCTGATGAACTTGGACTAACTGTGGCCCGATTCTCTCGCTCTATATGGATCATTGACTGCTCTATGATCTAAGGCAACCTTTATTGGTGAACAGCCTGAATAATTACTTGGGATTTTCTGCCTGCTGCACATCTTATATAGGGAGCATAAAGCACTGTAAGTCAATCTAGAGGCAGTGGTTTAGTATTGCTGAAATTCTGTGACAATATAACAAGAGGTTAGAACCCTCCAAAATTTTTGACTTAGCATAACTTGTTTTATATCCTTTCCATTAATTCATCTTTCACATTCGGTGTATGACATGCTTATGTCTCATGTCATTAGAACTGAATGGCTGCATCATTTGATTCAGAAACCTCCAAAAGTTGTTTAATAACTTATTGAAACAGTTGTAAGAATTAAATCATTTTTTTCCCCAGTGGCCTTGATCAGTTAAAGTCTCAATATAATTTTTTCTGTTTCCTTCTCAGAAAATGTCCCTGTCACCCCAGCAGCCTCAGGGAGGCTCTATATCCTCGCCACATGCCTCTCAGCCCAGTCAGGAGGAGTCCAGCCCGTGTTCAGACATGTCCAGCTACGAAGAGCCACCATCTCCCATGTCAGCAGCCAGCTCAGGACCCCGCGCTCCCGCTCCGACCTCAGCCCAGGTCCCCGTCCACCGACAAGCAAGCAAGTCCTCAGAGCAAGAGAGCTGCGGCGCAAGAGATGTACCCTCAATCGGCGATCGCTTCATGCCCAATGACCCCACCAAGTGGAACGTAGAAGAGGTTTATGAGTTCATCTGTTCTCTCCCAGGTTGGTAGTGTTTATAAACGGGCTGATTCCCAAAGCTGTGCATCCACGAATCTTATTTTTTAACGCAATTCCTTTCTGTTTGCTCAGGTTGTCAAGAGATTGCTGACGAGTTTCGCTCTCAGGAGATCGACGGACAGGCATTGCTCCTGTTGAAGGAGGACCACCTAATGAGCACTATGAACATTAAACTGGGACCTGCACTTAAGATATTTGCACGCATCAACATGCTCAAAGACTCATAGCAAGTGTTGTGTGTGAATTGAGGTGACGGCACTAGCAGCACTGATTGCTCAGTAACTCGGACTTCTCAGCACTACTGGACCACTTCCTCTATCAACACAAATGAACTCATCCTGCTTCTACTTCACCAGCCTGTAGTAATCGGAGTCATTTTGTCATATTTCTGCAGGCGTGGATTAAAAAAAAAAAGAGCCTTACAGGGTCATTTAGTGCTTAGATTTGAAAAGTTGTGGTTAAGGTCAAATCACGCAACTTCAAAAACAAACTAAAAATGCCTAGCATTTCTAATGTACTGTCAGGAAGCTAAAAAGTGCTGGTTAATCTGTACGAGTAAGAAAACCCACCTGATCAGTGTTACGTTACCACCATTAGCTATACTTTATTCAGTAAACCAGGATTTTGCTCCACAACACCAAGCCTGAAACGGGAAAAATAAAAACCAGTTTACAAAAGAGAACAGATGTAAAAGTAAGCAGTGCTGGAGTACCCTACCTGCTCAGTTGTGCCTGGGTTTGCTCACGCTGCAGCACAATCTGTGCTCATCTGTGGCATTGTGATAAGCACGGGTGAAGTCTGAATTTATTATAAAGTTCATGTTTTGTACAGTTTTGTTGGTGTGTGAAAGAAAGAGATGGCTGAGAGTCTGAGAACAGAAGATTGCATTTAATCATTGGTGTTATGTTTTTTTTTCTTAATTCAATAGAGGGGCTCCTTTTTACTTTGTCTAACAAAAAACAGCCCACAGCTATCAAAGAGCAAAACTGGAATGAATGCAGAGGGGGAAAAAAAAAACAATTTTAGGAGCCTCTTTTGTGTCATTTTTCATTTCAGTGGGTGGGTTTAAAATACTTACAAATGATCTTTTTCAGAATTATTAAGATATGGCATTAATTTTCTGACTCAGGTTTCAAAGACACTAATTTATACAAGGAACAAAATGGTTTGCTGCTCTTGACAAAACCTGATTTATCTTTTTATTTTGGTCATCTTTATGCACAATATGTTGTGGTGTGCAATTGTTTAACAATGCAAGTTTGTCCATGTAAAGCAGTTCATTTATGGAAAAGCTTGGTACTGTTCTTTCTATAAGTTATCATTTTTATTTTAAGAAATTGTTAATACCATTTTAATATTTTGATATATGCAAATTTATAAAATGCCATTGCGTTCCTTTATTTCACGTCTTTTTTAACAAAAAAAAAACGTTTTCTTTGTGTGATAGAAAATGAACTTTTTTAGATAATTCTTTGTCAAAAGCTTGTATTTATGAAAATGGTTTTACATGTTTTGCAGTTATAAATAATTTGCAGAAGAGTTTTGTCTTGGTTTGCTTTATATATTTGGCGCCTAAATAATTTCTGCAGCCCACTTCTCTGAAGTCCTTTTTTCTTACAGATTATCAATTTTGCTCAAAGCAAACGTCTCACAAAAAGTGTCAGGACTTTATGGATAATTCCATCAATTGTCCCACATTTCGGGCTGGTTAGTAGGGCAAAGGGTAGCACTGCTGCTTTGCAGCTAGAAGGTTTAAGGTTCGATTCCCGGCCCAGGGTCTTTCTGCATGGAGTTAACATGTTTCTCTATGCATGTGTTGGTTCTCTCCAGCTTCCTCCCACAGTCCAAAAACATGACTGTTAGCTTAATTGGCTTCTCTATATTCTCCTTAGGCGTGAGTGTTTGTGAATGTTTTTTTTTTCTCTCTCTCTCTGTTGCCCTGCGATGGACTGGTAACCTGTCCAGGGTGTACCCCGCCTCTAGATAGGCACCAGCAACCCTCACGACCCCGCTTGGGATGAAGCATGACGTAAAGTCGGATGACTGATACAAATAACCATTCCACCAGATTGTACTTGTCAGGGGAGTAAACTCACATATTTTTAGCCACCATACAAATTCTAGGAATTATGATCAAGATGAAAATTGACCTTAAGATGTTGCTGAGTATAAAGTGCTATTTAAACAACCTGGTCTCCTTATCACCCCTACACAATGGTTTGCTGATCAAATTCAGGCCATGAATGCAGCAATTCATCTAAAAAAATACATTTAAAAAAATTATGTGACCAACTATTAAATACATGAACTTCTATGATATTCGTTTGCTCTGCTCTTTATGAATAAAATACATTTTTATGGGTTTTGGATTTTTCTCTACGTTTTATTAATTGATACTAAACTAAATACATGCTTGAAATTAACATTTTTTTTAATAAAATAAAATTTATGAATAATGGGGGGAAAGAAAATGGTGAGATGAGGTTATGGTTGGATTTTTTTTGTTTTGTTTGTTCAAAAATATGCTTATCACAAATGTAAAACATTAAAAAGTACAAAGGACATGAAATTATTCTGTTAAGAGTATTGGAAATAATATATATATATATATAATTAAATGCGTATATAATTAATGATATTAATATAAATAATTATAATATCTAGTTTAATATATTAAAACAAGGCTGAACCAGGTCTATCTATAAAGACGGGACTTTTTCTCGATCTTTTTTCAGGCTGGGGCTTAGCCGGAAACCCGGTTTTTCTAGTAAGTAACTGCGTTATACAAAAGGAGCGTTGTAAAAAGTATCGACAGCTTTCCGTTTTGTTTCCACTGTTTTTAAAGAAAAACAACAGAAAAGAGTGGCTACAATAGAATCAACAGGAAGTTCCGCGACAGACACGCCCTTCTTTTTGATTTGATATTGGACCAAACTAAAATGAAATACGAGTATCTGAGGCATTTCTTTTTCAAATAAACATATTTGCACGAAGTAAACCTTTTTATATATATATTTTAACCGAACAGCGAATGTATGTTAAAATCTGGTCAAACCGCAAACAAATATAATTTTTTTTACACCCCCGCCCATTTAAATAGGAATGGTACGGTCCAGGTTTGAACTTGACGGTGATGGAATCGTCGTTTAAACGCCTGAGAGATTCACTGACGTTTCACTTATCAAGTCATTTTAAAGTCAACACCTGGTGAGTTAATTACTGAAACGTTTAATAATTAATTCCGTGCTGAGATATTGGAGTGTTCTTTTATTTTGTTTGTACATTCTCTGTAACTTTATTACATTTTGGACATTTTAAGATAGAAATAGACGAGGGCCATTCTAGATAATACAAAAAAACTATTAATCTTTAAATTGAGATACATGTTAGTTGGTAAATGGTTAAAATCTACATGTTTATGCAAATAAAGGTATAACATTACAATATTATATAAATTGAGCTTTGCCATCTTTTAAGATAATTTTTCCAATTCCATTTTTTTAATAAAAAAACAGAATTGAGCTTTAAAAAATGAACTTTAAAGATGGTGTGTGTGTGTGTATATATATATATATATATATATATATATATATATATATATATATATAAGATATATAAGATACTGCGCAGAACCCTCAAACTCCCAGGCCTCTGGTAGAGGACCCGAGCTTGAGGATGACACATACCACCCCACGAGGGGTGAGAAAACAGTATATATATGCAGAATAGAGGAAAATGCACTTTCTGAACACTGTGTGATTGAATAATTCTGTGCACTTTTCAGTTTCAGACTTTTTTTTTGTAAGAGCCCAATTGCAGCTGCTGAGAATAATTTTTGTTTCTTAACCGGTTTGGCTAGTGTCATTGTTATCTGTGTAAAGCATAGCCAAAGAAGGAACACTTAGTTTTAATTTTTTAAGTTTTTTATCAAGCTTGCTTAATTTTGTGCACAGCATACAACCTCAAAATATTGTTCTTATTGTTTATTGTATTTATTTATTGTATTTAATTTATTAATGAAAATATTTCTGTAGAATTTTGGAGTCTTTGTTTTTATCCTTGTGGTATCGAAAATGGTATCGAGTATCGAATATTTTCCTTAGTATCGGTATCGAGTTGAGGAGTTTAGTATCGTGACAATCCTAATATATATATATATATATATATATATATATATATATATATATATATATATAATATATATATATATATAATATATATAAAAGGCAAACACCTTGTGTGTTATATATAGTTAACAAGGAAAAGAAGTGTTGGCTACTGCAGACATGTCCAGTCGGAGAGAGGTGCCCTCTGATGATTCCCCAGCTGACCTTCCCAGTCTGGAAAAACTCGACTCTCCTGCAGGTATGTGAAGCTTTTCTACAACAGCTCCTGTCTTCTGATGCGTTCCAACCCTGTTAATAATTGAATTATTACCACCATAGAAGTTTAATTATATATATATGTGTGTGATGTGCATGTGGGTTCAGGGAGTCCACCCACATCCTCATTATCTTGTCTGATGGAGCTGGAAAACTGTGTTTCCAACCTGAGCCTCGCTCATGAGATTGTGGTGAATGGAGACTTCTGCATCAAACCAAGGAGCCCTCCCACTGACAGGCAAGACAGACATGTAACCGGTTACAGCTTCATAAATCAAACTGTTTACTTAAATTAAATGACTGCTTCTGTTTTAGCTTGGAGGGCAGAGTGACAGACGTCGTTCACCGGGCATTTTGGGACAGCCTTCAGGAACAACTGAGCAGCGATCCTCCAAACTACAGCCAAGCAGTTATCCTCCTGCAGGAGGTCAAAACTGTAGGTCTTCTTTCCACAAAAAAGTCAATTATCCCTTTCATTTAAATAGCGCCAATTCACAACACATGTCATCTCAAGGCACTTTACAGAGACAAGTCAACCAGATCATACAGGCAAATGAAAGGAAAAAAGATTAAAAAAATTCCCTCAAATGAAATGGGGAAAAAAGAAGTCCAGTCTAAACAAAAATTTATTTTAGGTTTCCAGGAATGCAGCCTGAAAAAAAAAGCAGCCTGCAAACCTGTAGAACCCGATTAAATCAGATAACGTTAGCATTAAAATGATAAAATCTGTTTGCCCAACCTAATTAAGTGATCTGTGTAAAAGCCTTTCATGAGGCAGGGAGTGACAGCACATTTCTTCTTACTTTTAGCTCAATACTGTTCAGAGACCTGGAGAGGATTTATAATGGATGTAAAAAAAAAAATAGTCTGTAACAGGAGATCAACACAGCTTCTGTTTCCTCTCAGATGCTTCAGTCGCTGCTTTTGCCCGGTCATGTCCGGTTGAGGTCCCAGCTGGACGAAGTGCTGGACATGGATTTGATCCAGCAGCAGGTTCAACATGGAGCTCTGGATCTCCACAGGCTGGCTGGATTTGTCATCAACACCATGGCCTCTTTATGTGCTCCAGTACGTGACCCCGAGGTCATGGCACTGCGAGACCTCAAGGAGCCCGTCGAGCTTCTTCGGTAAGAAGACTGATCCATCAAACTTATTTGAATACTCCACAAAAATCTAACAATGTTAACAAATAAAGTTTGTAGCCAGCAATTCATATCTCTTAAACATTTTCGCATGTGATTAGAGTAAGCCCAACAAAAAGCACTGATTTTATTTGATAGATTATAACAAGTCAGTCCATAAATGTAAAGGATAATAGAATAATGTGTGGAGCTGAAGTTTCTTTTCAAATAAAACCATAAAGAGTAGTATGAATTTATATATCTCAGAATAACCCTTGTTTGCAGCTCTAGGTTTTAAGTATTTCAATGTATGTTTGCACATCTGAAGGCGAACAAGATTAGCTTAAATCACTAAGACTAGTCAGACTAGATGAGCAACAGTTTTTAAGGGTTGTCACGGATTAATTTAAAGCTCTGGTTGTTTTTCTCTTTAGGCTTGTTGTCTTGCTAGAATGTGAAACTTTATCCCATAGTTGTTGTTTTTTTAACCACCTTTTTTTTTTTAGCTCCATCTATAATCCCGTCTACACTGAGCAACTACGTGGATGTGCTTAATGAAGCATTCCTTTTTCTTTTTTTTTTCTTTTATAATTGCACTGTCACAAGTACAGAGCAACAAAATCAACTCTATTTAACCCATCTCCTTAGGGAGCAGTGGAGTGCCATTGTGCGGCGCCCGGGGAGCAGTGTGGGAGTTAAGGGTCTTGCTCAGAAAGCCAGAGTAGCAGTCTGTGGGAGTGGGGCTTGAACTCAAAACCTCAGGATTTCAAGCACAATGCCCTAACCACTAGGCCACCACTCCCCAAAGCAGGCATTAGCGAGATGGGTCTTGCCTACGAACCCACAATGGCAGCTCATTGCCCCCAGCTTGGATACAAACCCGGCTTCCTGTTTGCAGGACTTTAGCTAGGCAGCCGCTAGCCATAATTGACCTTTATTGATGTCACACTTAAGAAATTTTATCTCTGCGTTTAACCCATCCCCTTGGGGAGTAGTCGGCTGCCATTGTGCAGCACCCAGGGAGCAGGGTAGGGTTAAGGGTTTTGCTCAGGGACCCAGAGTGGAGGCTATGGGGATCAAACTGGGTACCTTCAACCTTCTGAGAGCACAAGCTCACTGCTTTGACTACTAGGCTAACACTCCCCCTTACAGCATGATGCTGCCACCAACAGGTTTTACCACAATGATGAGCTTAGGTTTAGGATCAGTGCTAGTTTGTCATCATACCTAGATTTTTGCATGTAGGCCAGACGGCAAAATCTCATCCTCATCTGTGACCAGTGTTGTTTTACTTGTTTAATGCATCTTCTATTTTGGGCTTCATGCTGTATGAAAATGCAATCTTTCCTTAAAGGTATAGTGGAGGATTTTTGCAAATTTTTAAAAAGATCTGCCCTCTGCACTTGCATAACCCTGAACCCGCTCCTGGGAGGAAACGCCTATTAAATGCGTCTGAGAGGATGCAGGAGCCCATCTCTCCTTATTTTACTAGCAGTGATGTGAATTGGATTTTTTTAATTAGCATGCCAAACTTTACCAGTTGAGTAGAAACTCTACAACCGAGGCATCAGTGGGAAGCCCGACCGGTGCTTTCAGTGTGTGCCATCGCATGAAAGAATCTCCCAAAAACACTCTGATCTTGTTTCTCTCTTCTGAGGCCTTTCTCTTCTTCTCATACACTTAGTGGGCTCTTTTTCTCTTACGCCCCTCTGCCATTTTCAAAGAACTGCGGTGAGAAAGGTGAGATTCTATGACTGTCGGAAACCGTGGCTCACCACACATACGTATACACCTAAACTTGTGCATGCACAGAAACATATCCGCAGAATGATTGACAATTAGGAGAACCACTTATTTTAATGATGCATCCAGAAAAAGAACATCCTCCACTGCACCTTTAAGTCTTCATTTTAATAGTTGCTTTCTTCTGGACATTTCCATATAATATAAACTGTGTGTTGAATTTATAAGGGCGGCTCTGTTTATACTGAGATCATATTGCAATCAGATTACTTCACTCATTCAGTGCTCTAGTTATTTCTGAAGGCAATTACTTCAGATTTTCATTAGTGAATTCATACTATGGGGGGCTAAATGCAAACACACTCCACACATTTCGATTTTATTTCTTAAAAAGGTTGTATAATTTATTTTCCTTAGATGTCTCAATATACACTACTAAGTGGTGGTTTTAAAATACCAAAACAATACACTATAAAGCTACAAAATGTGAAAAGCTGCTATAGATACGAATACCTTTGGAAGCCACGGTAAAAAATTCAAAGTGTCATCCTTTTCTTTCAGGGGCATCTTCCGCGTTTTGGGGCTGATGAAGACCGACATGGTTAACTTCACCATCCAGAGCCTGAGGCCTCATCTCCTGCAGCAGGCGGTGCAGTATGAGAGAGCCAAATTTCAGCAGATCTTAGACAAGCACCCAGGTAAGGGGAGGGGGTTCGCTCTTCAGTTTTAATTAAGCAATGACAGAGATATATGCAGATGGCATAGGTGACTTTGTGAGAAGAACATTTACGGTAATTTAATGTCTCAGTATTCAATTAAACAGATTCTGACCTCTGTCGCATTAAATCACCATCCTCCAGTGTTTTATCTACTAATGCTCTGTGTGAGAAATTGAACAACCCGACATTAAATCCTCACACAGATATTTAAAGTTAAGCTAAAGCTACTTATTCTTAAAATAGCTTCTACTTATATTGTTTTATTGGCTTTCCAGAACACGAGTAGGTTTTGTTAAGAGCATTAGGCCATAATCAAAATGCTAACACACGTTAACACCTGCAAACATCTGGCTTCTGAGGATAAAGGAGACAGGTCTTATTATTCTGCTCTAAATATATGGTATGGTGTCAGTCCTCTACGTAGTCATCCAGGTGGGTAGAGGACTTTTTCTCTAGGGATATTAAAGTCACTATCAGAAGTCCTCGTCTGCCTAATGGCCAGGTTTTTTTGATCTACAGTATGAGGAAAAGATCTGAATAATTAAATGAATATTTCCAACAAATAATTAGATAATAATTTTCTGCAATTCAGCAGAAAACAAAACAAATTTGTCAAACTTGGAACAAAACAAAACAATGACCTGGTTGTGTGTGCACACCCTAAAGCTATTGCTTAGTTAAAAACACTTTGGATTGGTTGCAGCTCTCCAACTGTTTTGGTAGAAGCCTAATCTTTTTCTGCTTTTCCCTGCAATCATTTCTTCCAATCTATCGGGTTACGCAGATATTTTCTAGATAAACCCCATCTAGCTTTTTCATTTCAAAACTTAACCTTTCTGCCATGAAATTTCCCCTCATCTATCTTGTTCACTCAGTCAGCTTTGATCACACTGGTCAGAGCCTACTGGTACCTGAAACCATTCATCATTCCATCCTCCTTAAAAAACAGCTCTGGTTCCTGTTGCAGAAAAGATCATGATCGGCAATGAACGTTGGATTAGAACTAACCTTTTGGGGATTATATAGCATAATAAAAAAAATTAATGTTTTTTTTCTCATTTCTGCCACAGGTCTTTAGATTTCAGATGGACATTTTAAAGGCTTCACTTTAGTCCAGATATTTCCTCATATATAACCTGCTGGGCAGAAGTTCCTTTGATTCCTTCAGCTCTGCTCTGAGAAGTTTAGGTGTTTCCACTATAACTGAATTTGCACTAATTTTCCACAACTTTACAGTGAAAATATTTCTACATGCAATGCAGTGGATTTCGGTACCTTTCTGCTGACTGATGCCTTTGTTCATTTATATCAGCTCCCATCATGTCTTATAGACAATCTATTTTTAGAACTTCAAGTAAGCATAGATTATTCTGCATCTTTGCACTGTAAAAAAAAAAAAGATCCTGTAAATATCAACGGTTTCTGGAGCAATATTTAACTGGAACTTAATTTCAGAATCTCCCCATTTTTTTTTTATTCTCAGCTTCTCTTGACAACACAGCTGCTTGGCTTCAGGCGGCAGCATCCGAGGAGGCAGCGACGCTCCAAGATCAGTGCAACTCTCCTGGTTCTGACAGGCCTGCTCTTCCTAGTGCCACGGCTATTCTAAACCGCGCCTACATGCGTCTCCTCCACTGGGACCCACAAGACCAGAAATATCCAGAGGTAGTGCCAGCCTGCAAAATTAACTCTCACAGCTCCTTTTATTTCACTGGGTTATATTTTATTGATTAGGTGGGAATATACAGTAGCTCCATACGCTCCTCCTCACCCTGCTGCACGTTAACACATGTGACAGGACATCACAGCTCATGTAGACCATCAGCTCCAAACTCTTTAATTACATGTATCATCACGGCACTGTCAGATGGAGTCACTTATCAACCATCAGTAATGCTGCACATGTGTTTAGTTTGGAAAGGGAATCTATAGAGTTTTTTTTTTACCAGTTTATTTGACCTATTTGGCTCTTCTGGTTGCTCTAACATTTCTGTACAACCAGCTTTAATTTAAAGGGACCTTTAAGTAAAACTCACAGAAAAAGCTGTGATTTAGCATCAAATAACGCAACATTTGCGAAGTAACCTTCATGAAAGACCAAAGAGGACTTTCCACACAGGAAATCTTGAACTGTTTTCGTAAATTGTACCTGTGCAGTGTAACTTCTAATTTTATGTTTATTTATTTATTTATGTCATAGATACAGGATTTTTATTTTTTATTTTATTTTTTTTATTAAAAAGCCTAACTGGGAATAGGAGAGTCTGACAATATTTAGTCTTAACATCCCTGCACATAAATATATAAATTTAGATTAGTTTATTCTCTGTATGCATTTGCAATACATGCTCAATTTGTTATAATAAATATATAGAATAGATTTCTGTAATCTAACAATTAGAGCAAAAATAAAGTGTAAAAAACAATTGAAATAAAGCTAACAGGGCTTGATAATATATTCTTAAAATATTTGTGTCCAACCAGAGTGAGAAACTAGTATATATATTCATGAGGTCATAGTACATGACCAGGAAACCCTTTGAGAAATTACTCATGGCAATGAGGTGCCTGTGTTTTGCAGAGCATGCTAATGGACCGATCCCGCCTGGACGCTTTGAGCCAGCGGCTCCAGATGTTGGTCCTGGAGGCTTCAGTGTTGCTCCTGACTGGCACTCAGTGTCGGGGTGTAATTTTCTCCCTACAAGGGTTTGTAGGTAAACTCAGGCAAACTATCACTGCCCTGCTGGAAGGCAGTCACACCAGGTAAGATCAGGACAGGGTGATGTATGTGCTGTCTGTCATGGAGAACAGGTACCGTATGAGATGGACACCAATGGGGGTGACAGGAGACGACTGGGTTGTCAGAACAGATCCAGCTAACCTAATTTTTTCTGTTTAAGAGAAACCTTGTCATAATTATTGGATGACTGCAGACCAACAGGTTTACGCATCCTACAATCATAACTGACTTTTAAATATTTGAAGCTTTTAATCCCTAATTAAACATTAAGCATAATAATTCTCTGCGAAACCCAATACATTTGAGCTGGTACAGAGTTTAACTCTTGTTTCTGCTGCTCCAGGGAAGTCGACCTCAAGAGGGCCCTATTGGAGCTTGGAGAGGCGGTGCTGCAGCAGGTGAAAGAAGCTCAGAGCACCCAGGGAGGAGGGGGGATGCCTCAGGAGAGCCAGGATCTGCTGAGAGGACAAATATCTGACCTGTGGAAGAATAACAACCCGGTTCGCACACTTATAGGTCAGGCAGGACTCCAAGAGTAGTTATTTTCCACTGCTTCTCTTTAATCAAAGTGTGGTGCGGAAAATGCAGATGTTCTGATTATAAGATAGACCAATTTAAAGCAAAAAAAAGAACAAATTTGAGCATTTGATCTCTTTGAATGATTCCTGGATAGTTTACATCATCCTTTGTAGAACAGAAACATTAGAACTCCAACCATCTCCTCCTAAATATTAATCAGCCTTTTGCTTTCTGACTGCAGGCTTTGACTCCATCTCCCATAAACACACCATAACACATATAAGGGAGATGACGAATTCAAAGAGATTAATTATATGTTTATCTCCTTAATCTCCCTGAAAACATAATATCTGTTTCCATCGCTATGCACTTCTACTCCCACTCGTTTCATCCTTCTTGCTTCTGTTTGTACAAAACTAAATGTTAGAGAACCTCAAACCTCCTCAACTTAAAATGTGATAAAACTGAGGTTTTTATCATCTCTTTCTAAAATACCAAAATCCCATTTGCTACTATTTTTACTCCTGTTTTTTTTTCTTCCCAGAACTGGGCATCAATAGCAATTTGTAACTCCCTTTTAAAGCCAATAATAACATTGCTTCTATGTAACTTTTACATTTCATCTGCACATCAGATTATATAATACCAAAGGCAAAAAAGGCCAGTTTGTAATTAACATATAACTGATATTTGATATATTTAATCATTAGAATAACAACTAAAGAAACTTAGCGAGTCAGAAGTTAGAATTTGAATATAGCATATTTGAAAAAAAAAAATCAAATAAACATATTAAAGGTATAGTGGAGGTTGTTCTTTTTCTGGGTGGATCATAAAAATAAGTTGTCCTCCTAACTGTCAATCATTCTGGAGATATGTTTACGTAAGGCCATCCTACATGCTTGTCCCCATTTTCACTTACAGTACCAGTGGTGAGTCTGACAGTGGAAATTACAAATATTTTGGAAAGTAAGCTTGTTTGAGCGATGCAAACACCCAGTTTTAAACAAAGCATGCACAAGGAGAAATTAACTTGTGCACGCTTTTGCACACGTTTACCAAGCGTTCCCTCTCGGGAGCGGGTTAAAGGTTGTGCATGTGCATTTTTTTTGTTAAAGGGAGAGGGTGGGTCTTTTCAGAAATTTGTGAAAATCCTCCACTATACCTTTAAGTATTTAATTTTTTCTGTCATATCTGTGAAGCTTCTCTATCATCTAGGTCATGGTCAAGCTTGACAATTTCTATTTAAGCAACTGGACTTGAAGTTTTCTAGAAGACGTTTAGCCTCGTTCCTGTTTATCATGAAATAGTTCAAACTTGATGCAGCAGCACAGGGAGAGATTAACCTTCATATACGCAGGTTAAAATATTATTCATTTATTCTGCATCAGTATTTTTAGCCATTTTATTCATTAAAGATAAAATTACTGATTTGCTTCCCGTTTTTTTTTACATATCTAGATCAGCTTTTCTATGACTTGTTCACTTGTAGAGCATTTGACCCATTTAAATTTTGTTTAACTTGTGATGCACTGTAAACCTACAGTGGTTAACAAGTGCTTTTAAATTAGATTTATTATTAATGTTAAAGGCCGTTGAAAGCTTGTGTTTAGGGATTCACAGTTTGCCTCACAAACAACCTTTTTCATTTAAGTAAAGGGAAAAAATAGATAGCACTTCATTTCACTTTTTCCCTGTTGACATGCCTTCAAACTTTGATGATGGCCTCACCGTTCTGACCTTCCTCCTTCTGTTTTTCAACCCAACGCAGGAGAGAGAGTTCAGGGCTCCCTCCTGGCCATGCTGCAAGGCGGCTCGGGTAAAAGGCGTCCAGAGCTGCATTTCCCCCTCGGGCTGTTGAGTCCTGAGCTAGCAGAGTTGGGGACGGCCTTTGGGCAAATTGTTCACTTCAACCGAACAGTCTTTGGTCCGTTCTACGCACCCATCCTTAGGAAGCTGCTGCTACCATCAGGAGAGAGTGAAACTGGGGAAGACTCACGCTGACAAAGGACTGAACCGGAAAACACAGAATGTCATGATCATAAGCTGGGATGTTTTTATCCAAATTTTGGATTGTAAATATGGTGTTTGAGCTAAAAATCTGTGGTCAGAACATGAAACTATGCAGTTTAAGTCTCTGTTGTTTATTCACATGTACAGTTTGAAGAAACAAAATATTTTCTCAAAGGTCAGGAGGACTAAAGTAGAAGTAAAAGCATAAGGCAGAAACTGAATTCCAACAAATCTGTTTTTACAAAACATTAAGGAAGGATATGTAGCAAAAATAAATAGCAACAGACCAAAAGGTTAAAACATAAGCACTGAAATGTATGCTGAAATATTCTTTATGCTAAGCTTTACCTTGTTTTCTGATGTTGAGTGTTTACACATAAATTACCAAAGGCATTACACAGTTTTTCATTTATTTCTTTTTATTCTTCGTCTTTTGCACCTTTGATTGTAAACAAGATATATACTGTTAGAGGGGAAATGTGTTACTAAACAGGGTTTTTTTGGGGAACAAAAAAGTTGTTGTGTTTTGTTTTTTCACAGCGATTCAAACTGATAACATTACAGAACAGATAAATAAAATTACAGAACTCTCCCACACAAATATTATGAGAGAAACATTGCATTTAAAAGTAATGAGCTGAGTGAAAAAGGTGATCATAAACGCATATTATCTATTTTATTTTTAATTAAAGTACTAATAGTTTTTTGAATCTGTTTGATAAGTATTTTTTTATGCTATTTTCTTTTTGGAAAAGCTTATTGTCTGTTTGCTAGCACAGCAACCTTTCAGAATAAGAGCTGTGGGCAGCGATTAAGGTGATGAACGCACTAAGCAGTATGTTAAAATACGCCTTTATTGCTTTTTAGTTTAAAAAATAACTCACACTCTCAAATCCACCAAAATACAGTTTTTTTTACCAGATTTCTGAACTTGACGGAAATATTTTATTTAGCTTCAGTTTTTATTGATTTCAGACCCTTAGGGTCTGAAGGCTCATCTCTTTGCAGAACTGGTTTAGATGCTGAAGTGTCAATTTAACCATGTTAAATAGCTAATAGCTGCTACAGCGGGACTCCAAAAACACACGCTACATACGGTATGTAAATCTGGCAAAGTGGTTGATTTTAGCTTAGTTTGATCTAAATGTATGATAGATTTGCTCCCTTTGCAAACACCTTTGGTTATGCTTTGTCTGCAGGAGCTCTCTTTCCCATGTGACTTTAACACAATGGTCATATTTCGTCGTACAAAACTCTTATTTCCACCGTTAGTGAGACAGTCCTCAAAGTTTCGGGATTTCATGTCCTTATGGTTAATTAATGGTTTATTTAAACAGACTCTTCTCACATGAGAAAAATCAAAGATTGTTTAAGTCTGATTTTATTTAATAGAAAAGTACTTTAATATAATAATAAAATGAAAATTGTTATGTTTATAATTCTAGCATCAAATGACAATAAAACTCTCAGTACTGAGGCAGTTATACGGACTATAGAAATAGATTGTTTAGAACTGAGAGATCTCTGGTACATTAATAGAGCATGCAGAGGCCAGCCTTTATGATTGGCTGTCTAATGTGATGTAGTTCTCACAATTCAACCTTTGATTGGGTGATTAGTCACTTGTGACAACTCATATCATTTTCTTCATCCATTACTATTTGTTGGGCCGTTTAAGTTGAATTCCTGCAATATTTTGTTATGGTTTTCCTCGGCTAAAGTTATTTTGGGAGATTTGCTGTGTAATATAAGTAATAGAGTTTCAACACCAGCCAAAGTGAACCTGCAGATGCTGAGAAGATGAAGAGAAGATGCTGCACTGAAATTCAAAGGAAACCTTATTATCATAATTCATAATAATTAAATCATCCTTGAAACTAGTTTTCTAAAGCCTTTGAGACTACTTTATAAAGGTTATTAAAATCAGTTTTAATATCTATGTATGTACGAATGTGGATAGACACACACAAAATTGCTGGTACCCCTCATTTAATAAACTAAAAAAAACAAAAAAAAACTAAACAAAAACACAATGGCCAAAGAAATAATTTGAATCTGACAAAAGTACTAATAAAAAATTCAATGAAAATGACAGTCCGACTATGCTTTATGTCTATTCTTCAATAGTACGGTTAGCAAGACAACCAGAAAAAACTAATGAAACAGGGCTGGACAAAAATGGTACCCTTAACTTCATATTTTGTAATCAAATGCTTCCTGTAAATGCCAGTTAACTTCTGCTCCTCTCAGCAGGTATTTTGCCCCACTCCTCGTGAGTAAACTTCTACAGTTGTCTTTTGAAGGCTACCTTTTCTGGATGACATGTTTCAGCTCCTTTCAAAGATGCCCAATTGGATTTAAGTTGGGCTCATAGAAGGTCTCTTCAGAATAATCCCATTTTTAGCTGTGTGCTTTGGGTCATTATCCTGTTGAAGACCCGTGACGTGCAACTGAGACCATGCTTTCTGACAATGGGCAGCACATTCTCTCTAAAACTCCTTGATATTCTGGAGATTCTATTGCACCCTGCAAATATTCAAGACACCCAGTGCCAGAGTGCCATCTTTGTGAACATATGTGAACACAGACCCGATGTGCCTTGGCAGAAAGTTAGATTTGATCTCATCTGTTATCATCTGATATCATGTGACCTTCTCCCAGAGGGTCTGTGGCCTGTCAATGTATAGTTTGGCAAATTCCAGTCTGGATTTTTCATGATTTATATTCAATTTTTTATATTCATATTTGGCTCAAACAAAGTTGAACTTGAAGTTCACCATTAATTTCTTTGGACGTTTTACTAGTTTCTTTCGTTGCCAATTATATTATTTGTCTCTTTGTCATAACTTCTTCCTGTGGCCACTTCCATGGAGGTAGACTACATCTTAAATTTTTTATTAATATGTGCAACTGTAGTGACAGAAACACCACACTGCTTTGAGATGGTCTCATAGCCTCCTATAGTGACCATTGGGGTTTTTTGCTTTTGTTAAAAAAGGGGTACCAGCAATTATGTCCTTGTATATTTAACAATATAAGCCAACTCCTAATGTCAAGACCTTGTGGTTGTTGGGTTTTTCTATTAAAAAAATAAATAAATCAATAGCACAAACTTAATAAATTAACAACATAATAAAGCTTAAATTGATAATTTACTGTATGCAACATCATGACTCAGTGTTACACTTAGGAAAGTAAAAAAAAAAAACAGTTTCTTACTGTTTAGCCTATTTCTTTATTTTACTGTTTGGCATCAAACTCTCATGATTTAGACACCTTTTTTACATTTTGGCACTTTAAATATTTAAGTTATTACAACTAATCTTTTTGTTTCTTTTCTTGTTTTTTTTAAGGAGTTTAAATTGGAAAGATGCAACATGCATTAGCATTTTCAATTCTCAAATTTGGAGTGAATTTCTACTGTTGCAGTGGGATGGGTGGAAAGTAGCAGAGCTGTGCGTAGTAGCAAGCTAAATGTTCAGAAAGCATCGAATATATCTTTATATCTTTTTAAAACACAACGTGTTGTTTGAAGCAGCCTCCATGATCCTTAAAGGAAAGTGTTCCTTCTGCTGCTCCACGATTTTAGACTCGTTTCGTGAGCTAAAACTTCATTTAAGTTGTTACAGAGGTTAGATATAAATAAGTGTACATTTTTTTTACATCTTAACAGAGCACATGGAAAAAGCAAAACAAAACTGTATAAAGGTAGTTTATAATGTGAAGTTTTCTCATTAAATTCATTTTCTGTGAGCCCTTAAAACAACAGCTTTACACGTAAATGCTTTGTTCGTGCTTGTTGCATTTTAACTGCTCTTTGAATGCCAACAAGAGAAACACAGCAATACTAATCTTCGCTTTCCTTTCCTTTTTTTTTCTCTTTTCAAAGATCCGCAGGAACTCAGTTCCGCAACTTGAAAATAATAAAGTACATGAGAGGCACAAACGGGGCTAATCGTTTGTTTAGATTAGAAGTTGCACCACCCACTAATCTTGTTCAGCAGGGAAAACAATGAAAGCACAATTGTACAATAATTACCATCTTGTAATGTCACTTTTGATTTTGAACAGCTGGTGTAATGTGTCTGTTTTTAACTGCTCAGCCATGTAAAGAAAATCAATGCTGACAACCGACTTGAGAGGGTTTCTTTAGTCTTTGTATTATTTAATATCATGAATATAATATTGCTTTGAAATTCGAAACAGTATCACATTTTCAACAACAAGCTATACTCTGACCACAAATATGGGCAAAGCATTGTATGCTGGAACAGTTTATTTTTTTTCTCTACATTTTGTCACTCATTATCAAATCCCATTCATCTTCTTCACCTTAATCAGTAGAAATTCTCATTAATAGTAATACTAACGGGCTACAGAGCTCTAAACATAACAGTACCTACAGGACAAGATCAGTTAGATGGAGGCCAGGAATTAGACCTGACCATACTGTCTGACCTCTCTCCAAACAGGATTGATATACAGCTCCTGTTTAGCCAGTGATGTGTGACCACAAGTTACCTTTTGGCTGTGAGTTAGGGATTCATCTTGGGGGCAGTGCAGGAGCAGAAGGTGTACAGAGTGAGATATAAATGTCAGAATAACGCCGCTTGGCCCTTTCTCCCTCTTTTTTTATCGTTTTCCCTCTGCTTTGTGCACTAATTCAACCCTCGCAAACACACTCGCATCGGCTGCTCCCCTTCAACTCACAGCTTGGTGTCCGGAAACTTGAACGTTGGGGTGAGCTACACAGGGAGAATACGAATGTTAAAAAAGAGGACCGGTACATGCACAGCCACATCATGCTACCAAAAACTTGCTTTAAATAGCTGCTCTTCATTAAAGTGTAATGCTTTTTTTTTTTTTTTTTCTTAATAGTGTGCAGCCATACGAGAGCAGGTTGTCTTGGTGACATACAAAATGGTGGTGGTGGAGGTGGTATGGGGGGGACGAGTGTGACAGAAATTGTGAGAACGGTGGAAACGGATGGATGGGTATGAATTAGGATGTAAACTGAGAGAGGGAACATAAAAGGCATATGGCAGATGAAAGAGCGAGAGACGAGACGCTGCTACAGTACAGTACACACAGAGACTGCTCAGGCCAAGTGCATCAGAGGGGACAAAACACAAAGACACTGCCAAACATGCATCATCAGTGGAAGCTAACAGATAAAAGTCGGAACAAAGTGGCAATGACATAACCACGGCTCCGCACACACAGCAGCTACATCTAAAGAGTCTCCAGACACACTGTCTTTGGAGAGGAGCTCAGTCCCTCACTTCTCCTGCGGCACACAGAGAAACAAGGACAGCGGCCAGTGATGCAGCAGTCCAAATCCACGTGGACAGACAGAAACAAAGCATACAGGACACACGGCTGGCAGTGCACGCGGTGGGGGCGGGGATTAAGAACCCAATATCTCAATTTCACAATCAGCATATTTTTTTTAATCACAGTGCAGGAGGAAAATACTTTGTCTGAATAATCATGGTTTCAGCTTTACAGATCTACCGCATGAACCGGACACCAAAACAGGACGAGATTTGGCTCTCTCAGGTGATGTGACAAACTTTAAGTGATCTGTTTCAAATTTAGAAGTGGTGGTAAATAAAAACCCAACTATTTAATATACATGTATAATAAGCTATGCTATAAAGGGAACTGTGCACCAAACTGTGCAGGGGGCTCATGTTACACTCATGTTAAAGAGACGGCTCACAATTTTGTTTTAAGTGGAGCTATGTTAGAAGGTTATAAGAGTTTCATATCTTACCTGCAGCACATTATTGTTTTGGTGTCTTCATTAAGAGAAAAATCTGATGAGTTAGTCCTGGAGGCTGAAGCTAAAAGGGCCGAAGCCAAAGAGAAATCTAGTATTTTAAAAAAGACTTAATTTAAATCAGTTTATGCAAAGGCTTTTGAAAAATTTTAAAATGCTAAAAAGAAATGCTCATGTTGGGAGACTGTTGAAATAAAAACTGTAGATGTTTTTGGCATACACTATTTTATATATTAATACACTGCATTACTTTTTTACTGGTAGTTACTGTATGTGGAAACACAATTTTATAAGCCTATTTCAACCCTTTCAGTTGTTGTATTGGAGTAAAAAACAGTTGCAAATGAGCCTATATTCTCTAAATTTAAGGGCTTAAAAAATTAATAAATAAGGATGAGAAGTTCTGGATGTATGTTTTATTTATACATAATAAGTGTATTAATGTGTAGTTCATTTAATAACGATATAAAGATCCAGAATTTGAGCCCATTTTTTTCCTTATCTCTTTTCATATAATTGTTTATATTTACTTAAACAGATTAATATTTAGGCTTCTTAAACAAATGAATAAAAAATATATAAGTTTTTACATTTTTGCAAAAAAAGACACAGTCGCTGCTTAATTTCCCCCCAAAAATAAGACAATGTTAAAACCATAACATGTCAATTAATTTAGTGCAGTAATCATTATATTTAAAAAAAACAAGTTAGTTTCGCCTGCGTTTAAAAAGTAGCTGCAGGGAAGGAGCGCAGAGCTCCTTTACATCGTGCTAATGTCTCAAGCCATTTTAGGGTTTATTTTATTTGTCCCACCTTCAGTTTAACACCACAAATGTTTTATTATTTTATTCATTGATCCAATAAGTGTCTTTATACGATGAAAGGAGGATGTAACCAAAGTAATGGGGGAGTTTTTATTTAACATCAATAGGGTTTCAAAAATAGAAAACTTTGATTATGAGGAAAGGAACATTTTTGGCTTGAAGACCTGTAACATATTTCACCCATTTGGCTTCATCCCACAAACCGAACAATTTGACCGTTAGATTAATCGTTGTCTCTTAATTGTCCCCAGGTCTGAGCGATACACTGACACTCTGTCCTCAGCATCATCCAGCAATGGGAACTCTGATTAGCTTCACTCTTCAGGAGAAGCTCGTTTGGATTTTTAAATGAAGACACCAAAAGATTTGTTTACTGATTTAAGAGATCAACTCCTTCTTCCTTTTTAACACAACCTCACTTAAAAACATCAGAGCAGTCTCTTAAAAGAAATCTTCATGTGTTGAATACAAAAATAAGTGAAACATGGGACTATTGTCAATATTTACGTTTTTTTTCTTTCTCTTTTCATTCTTTTACCTCTTATTGAGATATTTTCAGTTACTTCCCATCTTTAAAAAAGTATCACAAAATGCACTAATACTCCACTTGCACTTTAGGAAAACAAAGTTTTAAAAGGGATAGTGCTTTTTTTTTCAAACACAGTGCTTTTAGTTTTGCTTTTTTTAAATGAAGAAGATTTTGCAGGCTCTCAGCGCTACCATTAATGCTAACAGGCACTGGGCAGTACAAGGCCAGACTCATCTCAACAAACCTGTACCATCATCTATGTAACATCTTCCCAGCCAGTCACAATTAAATACAGCAGAAAAGCCAAAAATGTTTTTTTTTTTCTCCTTCCCCTCTTTTAAAAACTGGTTGGAGGCGTGCAGCTGTTGGGTGCTGGAGTTTGGCAGGATAGGGGATTACTTGGGAGTTTTAGTCGATTATAGATATCGCAACATCGTGTAGGAAGGTTTCAGTTCTCAGTCAGCTTTGAGTTCAGACATCAGTGATCGATTTGTGACCAATCCATTTGTGGTCTTACTATGAGTACTGTACAAATGAGTAAAAAAATACAGGTTGTTTGCTGCATGTTGCTGTTTTTCTTTCACTATATTTATATGTATTTGTCCATCTTGTGTCCCATGCTAGCAAAGCAGCCTCCTCATAGTGCCTCACAGTGGTAGATGCCTGGTAAGACAGGACAGGCTACAGATGGAGAAAGGAAAAAAAAATAACTTGTAACTTTCTTGAAACAAAACAAATTAATTAATAAACCAAAAGCCAAAAATATACTTGAAAATGTGAACATAAAATGCTTTTACTACTGATCTGAAGCTTTATCTATGGGGGTCTTAAAGGAACAGAGCAACATTATGCAAAGAATATTAATGATTTGATAAGAAATGATAGTAATAAAGTACTAATTAGTCATAAAAGTGCTATTCATGTGATATTTGTCATCACAAAACTTGGTTATCTATAACTTCTTATTACCCTGTAATAGCTATAATGTGACATAAAAGTATATTTCACTCCACAAGAGGTTTCAGTAGCTTTTTTTAGCTAAACAATTTATATCAACATTAGAAAACTTACTCAGATAATTTCTGGATTTGTTTTAAATATTTTTTAATGTGCAAAAAACTTATGCACAAAATGTGCACAAAATCTGTTTCCACTCTATTGTAAACATTATTTTCTTACTTTTTCTGCCTGTGTTATCTGTTGTCCTCTAGTTCTGTGGCAGCTGCAGGGATTATTGCTGATCCAGATCTGAGAAATAACAGCAGGAGCTGTGCTGAATTTTTTAAACGCAGGGTAACTACAAACTTAGACTTTGCCCCCTGCAGTGACTAGCTTTGCACAAATGACAGAAACTGTATGAGTCATGTTTTAAACCAAGTAAATTTAGATTTGCGGCATCTGCTAAAAAATATTAAAGATTATTAATGTTCTCAAATCTCTGCAAGAAATTTTTTTATTTCTTAAAATGTCAAACTGTTCATTTAAGAGTTAAACCCACAGACCAGTTTAACCTTACACAACATCTCTAAAAATACTTGAACTTGCTGTGAAGTCAAGTCTGAACAAATCAAAAATGAACATACTTGTTTAGCCTGTGGAGAAAACCGAAGGAAAACCAAACAAAAAGAATGTCTTGAAAGAGGAAGAAGAAGAATAAAGATGCAACCTTTGGGAGCTATCGGGGATTTGGAGGCAGATGCAAGTTGTCAGGAAGAGGAGGATGAGGAGGAAGAGGCAGTTTGGTCGAGAGAGAGCAGGGCCACTGTAAAATGAGATCAGTCCAGGATCATCCGTTCCAAGGCTCCGCCATTGGCTGCAGCAGCAACAGGCGAGGGAGGCTGCCGGGGATGTTGGGAGAGCTCAGGAGAGCCGCAGGAGTGTTTGTCATGGCATGTAGGAGGTCGGCGTGGGTTGCTGGGCAGGGCAAAGGAAGGTGCAGGAAGAGGCAGCCCTGAGGGATGCTATACCATCACAGTGAGAAGGCACGGGCTCACTTGTATATATATCTCTCTGAGTGTGTGTGAGAGAAAGAGATGAGCAGAGAACCGGATGCAAGGGTAGAGGCGAAAAGTACAAGGGAGGTGCAGTGAGGAGGGGGCAGCTGTGTGGGGGAGGGAGGGGGGAAGTTCCTGCCTCAGAATATGGTGGTCTCATACTTGGTGCTGACGGGACGCCTGTTGGAGTCTCGCTGGTCACAGAGCCAGGTGGTGCTGCCCAGCGACTGCATGTCGGCGTCCATCTCCAGGGGGTCAATCTGCCGGAGGGGGGGATGGGGAGGGAGGAGGGACGAGAGGAGGAGGTGTGAGACGTGTGGCAGTGGAGGCCATTTGCGCCACACTGGCGAGTCCTCAGCTCACACACACGTATATATGGATTAGAGGTACAGTCAGTCCAGTGATCAGGTTAGAATCACAGACACTGAGGGCTCAATCCACAGAGAATGGATGACATTTGACAGAGAAAACTCAGCTTCTGTGAGCAACAGCAGCAAACCAAACACATGACTCTCTGGGTGCTAAGGAATAAAACTGATAACTAGTTTAGAGGCACCGCCGGCTCTTTCCGGATGCCTATTTCTTTAGATTTTATGCTGATAAAATTACTTTAAAATAGCCTTAAAAAAACTGTCCTTTTACAACCATCTATCTGAAACAACCATGCCGTCATTTTTAGAGACTAAGTCAAATGACTCTTCCCACAAAACCTACGCTTACTTCACTTCAGCTCTTATATGTAGGATGGAGATGAGAGATCGGGAAAGTAAAGGGATGAGGAGGATAATGAGATCAAAAAAATATTAAGAACCACAAAAGCAAATAGTCAAAGTGCAAGGCAGAATCCCCCCAAAAATAATATAATAAACTGAGAAAAGGGAAGTTTGTTTGTAAGCAGATGTATGGTGACTGTGGGCTGAAAAAAGGAAAGAGAAGGACCTGGATTCCAGGGCTAACAGAGTGCAACGGGAGGAAGGAAGGACGGTGGGTAGTACACGTGTGACAGTGACAGCAGCGGCATTCGAGCAGAGGGGCGCCCTGGGAAGCAGGAGGACCAAGAAGACAAGAACAAAGACATGTTATAATAAAGAAGGCAGGAGAGGAGGGACAGAGCATTTCATGGACAGTGAAGAAACCCGGCAGCAGAATATTTAAACCATTTCTAAAAAAAAAAAAAACAAGTTTCCAATCAGGGATTTTTGGCTCTGAGTATCAACCGTCCAATCCCAGTTAGCATCAGCTGAGGACGGCGGCTCATGGGAGCTTTGGATTTCTACACATGCTGACGTGAGGTGCACGTGGCAGTGGTGAGGGTGGAGCAGAATGTGATTAATTAAACATCATCTTCATTTGTTTTGTCAGGGGCATCAGCTCTTTTGCATGCCTGACAAATATGGAGGGATTATGAAACAGAGAGTAAAGGCATGTGAAACATCCTTTACTCATCCTACGGAAGTGTAAGATGACCACAGACCAAAAAAAAAAGAAGTTACCTCAGATTATACTACAAATCCAATGTGTGGTTGTTTTGTGTCTCCAGCATTTTATTGTTTGGCACAGTCGTTATTGAATCCATTTAATTTATTCTTTGGCATTTATCCATCTCAGTTCAAATTCTAGCATCTTAATGTTTTTTTTTGCGTCTGTGAATTTTTAGCCACAGTTTCGGTTTATTCCTGCATATTTTCTTCATTTATGCATCTGTCAGAGAAACTCGAAGGAGCTTTGAATTTGGCTGACACTTACTAATGATCCATTACCATAAAAGTCTTTCCTAATTACTTTAAAACAAAGAGCAAGAGTGGGGTGTCAGATTTTCCCATATCATCTCTGAAATGCTGGAATTAGATGTGGGTTCACCACATGGATCAGCTGCTTATGTGGGGGCGGACAGTTTGCTTTAGGCTTAGTTTTTTCTGCGAAGCCATGCAGGCTGCTGTCAAACTACATACTTAGGACTGGCTTCACGGTTTCAAACAGTTCAGGGCAGAGGGGTGTGTTTTGGTAACCTCAGGTACATATCAGACTATCCCAAAAAACTGAACTATTAATGTAATTCAGATCAAAAGAAAAACTTCATAGATCTACTGCACAGAGTTTAATATATTCAAATTGTTTTATAATATTCATTTAGGTTTTGTATCACTTTTATTTATATATATGAAGGTGCTGAAACCTTTTAATTCCAAACCTCTTGTTTAATTGCCTGATTATTAAATTCAAACTGCTAATTGAAGCATCGTTAAACATCAAATTTTAATCCAACTGTTTCTTCACCCACTTTAAAATGCTACTGCAATATAATATTCTTTATGTAATTTACTTCTACTTAAGTTCTATTCATGTACGGCACTTTGAATGGTCTTACTACTGACCAATTAAACCAAAAAAAATTTAATTTGATGAAATTTGGGTTGCAGCTTATAAAAAAAAAAACTGTTTCCCAAAAAACTAGTTTATTACAAAAGACTAGTTAGAAATTATTTTTCAAAAGTTTGATGTTATGGCAGTTGTCCAGCAGATGTTCAGGGATAGGCTGCATTAAGGCAATCAGATACTAAAAGTAATTACAAGTGAAGTTGGCTCTATTCAAGCATTTTATGGAAAGTTGAGTGGAAACAAAAAAAAAACATTGTGCAAAAAGCAGCACAGCCAAAATGTTGGATATATTTAAAAATTTGCATAGTCAGCGATGATTTATTGGGCCGAGTCATCTGCTGTGGTTTGTCCGCTGTGATTTACCGCATCTGAAATCAGCACAGCCTTCTAGCTGGAGGATTTAGAGCAGTTCATGCATCCTCGTTAAAAAGCTTAATGAGATTTCGTTCTCAAGCAGGTGCCGGTGTCTCACCATATTACCGAAATACTGATACAATTAGAAAAAAAAATCATAAAAAAAACTTTGTCTGCATAGACAAGATGCTAATCAGAGGGTTAATTACCATGGTATCGCCTTACGGGATCAGGAGAGTTATCTATGGGATTTATGCTGAGCGAGTTTGCTGTCAAGAGGAAGATTAGAGACTAGAGACCCAACAATGCAGAGAGGATAAAGGCTTCCATTAAAACAACCTGGGCTTCATTAACTCCTCAGGAATGAACAGACTGGTTGCCTCCATGCCATGACGGAGTGATGAGACCTGCAACTACTTAGTGTAAATACTGACAGTATGTGGACTTCATTTTCATTAGGTGGACTTTTTTTTTTTATTGGCTGACTTATGTAATATAATTTTCTGAGAAACTGAGGTTAGAAGTTTTATTAGCTGCAAGCCAACATTTTTGAAAATTTAATTTCTTGAAATAAATGTATTCTCCCCCGTTTTTAGCAGGTGGGACAATATGTCAAGAAGATAAGACAATTAAAGTAAAAAGAAAACAACATATTTATCTTATTTCAAGTGCATACTATCTTATAATCCTGTTTAAGGGCAAAATACTAATTTTATTGGCAGATCATTTTACTGACCAGCAAAACAGGTTTTCATTTCAGTACATTTTTACCTATTTTTAGATAAATTTTTTCAGGACATTGATCACTCATTCTTTTGGAGAAAATAGAAGTTGTGATGAAGAGGAAATCTTGTGATAAATGAGCTTTTTAAAATAATACTCAAATGTACAGGGATGCAGCCATATTTGGGTAATACAGCTGATAAAATTGTGTTTGTTCCGGCCACACCACCATGTCATCCAATATATAGCTGTTAATGAGACATGTAAACACTAAAACCATTTAGGTTGTAACAACTGGAAATGTGTGGGTTTGGGCTTAGCAGGCTCTTTGGAGATGATGTATAAAAGCTGTTCAAACCAACAACATTCTGCAGCAACACGAACCATTAAATGTAATCACAGATGACAGGAATCAGTCCCCGTCTCATCTAAAAGCTAAACACTGAGCCAGCCTCATTATGCAGATGTGTGCATATACTCCATATTTTATAGTGAGAGGCAGGTGGTAAAACAAAATGATTTGTGTTTCTGCATAAGCAGTTGGTCCTGCGGTATCAGGTGACAGTGATTGCTGAATGTCTATTACATGCCTGCTGAAAGGTCAATATGTCAATACACCCCCCGGGGGGTTGGTAAACATTTTCGCAGCCCACTTAATCAGAGGTGAGAACTTGCGGGCGTGTCCGCCCACCGGGGGAATGAGCACTTAGAAACGGCAGCGAATATTTCATCTGACTGTAAGCAACAAATAAAGCTTTCATTCATCACTTTTTACCCCCCCCCGTATATGCACCAATTGAAAATCTCCACTGATCAGGAGTGACTTTCAGTGCTGTGGGGTATGTGAGAAGAAGCTGGTGGAAAAGTAATGACTCATCACTTTTTTTTCCCACACACAGCAAATCTTCCTTTGTAGGTGGCCTGTTGGGAATTGAGTAGGGAAGGGGAAAAAAATCGGTCATAAGGTCTGTGTATATTTTCTGAATTACTGACTCCACAGCTGCATATTTCTGCCTGGTCCTTCTCTTTAGCTGCATATTTCTGCCTGTTCCTTCTCCTTATAGAAATTATTTCAAAATAAAACAAAACTCCTAATAAAAGCCAGGTGCCTTCTTCTTTTTATATACTCACCGCTGATCTTCTCATGCTGTTCCACGACTGAGACACTGGGCGGCTGGTTTTGGTTTCGATGAACTCTGAGCCCATAGATGTTGGAGGCACATACTGTCTCGCCCTGGACTGCACTGCCATCTGATAAGCCACCTCGAATGCCTGCCCCAGTGTTAAGATAATCTCATAGGTTTGGATCTAGGTTGCGTAAAAGAAAAGCAGCATAACAGGGGAAAAGGTTAAGACAACGAAATGGTAAAGCTTTGTCTCAGTGGCCTGTCTTAGTAGAGCATTTACAAAAATATTGAAATTAAGTTATTTTATGTTAAATATAAAACTTACAAGGAAGCAGAAATTAATGCATAACTATTCAGCTGATTAGAAATGATCAACGGTTGTAGACATTTTCTAAAAAAAAATGATCTAAAAAGTGTGGCATGCCTGAATCAAAGTTTAGGACAGGATTTTTTTTTAACGAAAAATGTACAGACAGAATATACTCCAATATGGATGTATGCCAGGATTGAAAACATTTTTCCATAGCTATTATTATTTTTTTGTTACTATTATTAGAGTCTGGATGTAATTGCTTGTGTTAGGTTTATTCAATGATGATTATAAAGTTAATGTGTGTACATATGAAACATTGGAAAAATGAGATGCTTCACTCTGTTTACTGCAAACTGTCATGCAACGGTGGTAGAAAATTGCTGATGTTTGTGCAAGGCTAATCACAGTTATCAGAAGACCACTCTGTGCTGTGATTCAATCAGAGGAGCATTTTGTCCTATGACCTGATCAATTGCCTTGTCAGAAGAACGCTCTATTTTGTATCCCACCCAATGTGTTATGATCTGCTAATAAAAAGTCTCTGCAGAGGAAGTCAGTCAGAGAGTGGTGAGCTGAATGTAACTCTCTCCTTCTGCAGAAGTTGTTAAAAATCCCTCTTCTGTGTAGACTCAGTTCCTCTTTTACGAACCTACTTTTTTAACCTAACAGCTTGCTATACGCTTTCATTAGGAGCGAGGAACAAGAAGTGAATATAAATGCCAAAGTTATGCGTTAGGTTTTTATTATTAAAGAATTCAGAAAAATATATATTTTTTAAGATTTCTACTTTATGTTGGTCTGTTAAATAAAATTCCAACAAAATATTTTAGGATTTGTTTATGGCGTAGCAACATGTTGAAACATTCGAGGGCTTTTTAAATGTCTGGAGGACATTTTATGAAGGTTGCTTAAAAGTTTGAATGTTGACTAAAACTTTGTCTATGTATAAAGGCAAGAACGTATAGGCCTACATTATTTGGCCTCTTTTTTTCAACATGACAAACATGCTTTTCTTTTATCAATCTTAATGCCAACACATGCAAAATTCCCGAAATACAGAAGCCTTTAACCTGAATAACCTGCTTATCTCACTAATGTATCGAATAAGTTTTTGTACAAAATCTAGAAGTTAAAAGCTTTAAGAGATTTCCTTACTGATTAAAAAAATGATGAAAAGTGATTTCACAGCCTGCTTACAGTGGTTACTAATATATACCATTCAAAATCTAAATTCATACAACAAGTAAGAGAATGCAAAAATAAAAGTTTGGACTCCAATCAAGCCAGTTGATGAGCAGACAGAGGAAGAAAAATAGAAATAATAAATATAAATAAAATGAATGAGAAGCTTGTTAGGTTTAAATGCAGGCAGCTGCTGACAAACAAACTAAATTCCCTTTTTATCTACTCATTAATTAAATTATTTATTTTTTGTAGAAATCCTGTCTTGAGAATATCCTCCCAGGTTTACATGTTTCTTTGTTTTTCTTAAAGTGCAGAATACTTACGACTTCAACAGTACTGAAAACATGACAGAAGTGGTGTCCACTCTTTGAATCCTTGGTGATGTAAGCAAACGTACAGAGGTCATCCGGGTCCTGGGCGGCACACGAGATGTTTCTGATTTCATGCTCTGCAACTATAGTCTGACAGGAAATGTAAAAAGAAATCAGTCTCTATCTAGTGATAGCAGGGTTAGTGTTGACTGTTTAATAAGCACAGAGGATGGTACCTTTGAGGCAGCATCAATGAACTTCACACCTCTGTAGGTGATGGACAGTATGACAACTGGGCCCTTTTTGGAATCCTTCGATTTCTAGAATAAATGAGATTGAAATCATGGTTCTGTTTCGAAAAATAAACAGTTACTAAAATAAGAGCAGTGGGACTTTCCAAAGCACATCTTTTTTATTGATACCCTTTCATTTGGGGATTGTTGTTCTTTTACTGGGATTAATCAATTACTTATTTTGTTAAGTACAAAAGTAGTTTACTTGCTGTTATTATGACCATGAATGTTGACTTTACCAAATTTTTCTCAAAGATACGTATATATAACCATCCATATTTCTAAATCAGTCAACATGTTGCATCCCAACCACAAAGGTGTTGCCAACATGTCAAGCTTTGTGAGAGTAAAACCATACTGAGGGGCAAGAGAACCGAGCGTAATGCTTGTGCATTGCACAAAATAGTTGTAAAACTGTAGGCTACTGTATTACTATTCAGTTTGACTTCAATTGCAAACAACTAAATGGTTAAAACGTGAACTCTGTTAGGTGCCCCATTAGAACATCCATCACTAGCCAACACCAGAGATGGTGCCTTTAGGGATAAGTTGATGTTTCAGGCATGGTTTTTCAAAGCTCTGAATACAACCCAAATGATTTAAGGTGTTATAAATAACACCTTATGTATGTGATGCATATGCTGCCAAATTCAGGGCCAATAATTAACTAACATTAATCCAGAAATTTGTTAATTCAACAGAAGCATGTGGTCCAACCGTCTAAAGGCTACTGGGGGAGTATGCTTTGAGCCTGTGCAAATGATTTTAACTTTATGTGAATTCATTAAAATCTAGTATAAAGTTCAAAACTGTGCACCCTGTCCTATTGTTAAAAGAAATTCAAGCTGTCCATTGCATTATATGTCAACTAAAAATTAATAATATCTAAACATTTAATACTATCCCCATTATTAGAGTGTCTAAACCTTGGAACAGAATCATGCATTTGGCTCATAATAAAAAAAGAATATATAAAGCTGTTTGAGTAATGATCAAAAAAGAAAAAAAAAAATCTTTCAAACTTACCCTTATTTTTGCACAGGCATCTTGTGTGGATTCAATCCCTCGTAAATCCCTGATTATCAATGATCCTAAATACTGAGGAAAAAAAAGACACATTTTAAATGCATTATCATCAATGTTAATGAAAGATCAAAGAATAGAAAGAGACCATAACAGATGATCTCTTTTTACCTGGTCCGCTGAAGACAGAAAAGGATACTTACTGTTGCCTCGTACCTGCAGGAGTCCAGGATGAGCTTCTCAGGCTGGTGATGCCAGGCAGACACGGTGGCGTACGTGGCAGACTGGCTCTGGGGCCGGAAGTTTAAACGAGACTCTTTTTGGCGTTCACTGTGTCGCTCCTGCAGAAATGCAGTGTCACAGCCCTGTTTCATATCTCTGCATCCTACCTTAAACAGCTAAGAAAGGGATTTTACCTAAACTTTGGGTAAAAGATTCAAAGAAAAATACTTTTTGACTTCAGATACTAATATGTGTCTGTTAAGCTGCCGAGTCAAAAGACCTCTAACTGCTGCATATTAAAGTAAAAGCCTCTGAAGTCTGTCTGGTCAGCATTTTATAGTAAGGCTCTTTTTTTTATATATATATTCCAGCAAGCTCATAAATATTCATGCATTTTCAGCCTTTAGGTCAGTGCAGGATGTGCTGAGCTCTTTCATAAATCACATGTACTTATTATAATACTACACGCTCTATCAAAAATCTATGGATTGAAGATGTCATTCTCACTTAGCAGTGCAACATATTCCTTATTTTGTTTTGGGGATGTTCCTGTGTCTTTTTCTTTCTTGGCCTCAGTGAGGCAGAGACCAGGATTGCAACTTGACTGTTTGTGTCGCAGCTTGACCTTTAGCAAATGCTCAAATTTGATCACAAGGATATTTTTAGCTCAATCCCTTGCAAAATAATCCAAGACGCTCAGGGAGGATGATCTGAGCTTTGTGAGATGAAACACAGCTGTAGGGCAGGGTTATAATTTGAGAGGCATATTTTAATTTTCAGCAAAGTTGTTTTTATGAAAAATGAATGATTATATGCAAATGCAAGAACAGAATTCTTGCATAAATGCAAAATGAATGGGTCATTCCTATTTTTAGCATTTTTTTGCAGAGAATTTGACCAAAATCTAGCAAACATTTGAGCTTCAACTTTTTTTTTTTTTATCCCTGCTTTCGGGGGTATTTCTGTGTTCTCACCTGAAGAAACTGGAATAAATCCATCCAAATATTTCAACCTTCAGGGACCATTGACTGAGCTTAGCCTGCTGATCTTGAAGATATATCATTAATATCTGCAAGGAGTTGCAGACTTTATAGCCACAGAACACTGCAGTGTTATTTAATATTTTTATTTTTTATCCTACCAGATAAAAAAGGTTTTAATAGAAAATGCATTTAATAATTGTGACTAAATGGACAAAGAGGCATTTCTTTTTTAGAGCAAGACTGGATGGAATTAAAATCTGCCCACTAATTATAAGGCTGTATTAAACTGCGGATGAACATAACAGTTCTGCCTCTGGGAGGAAACCAAATGTGCTGAATCCTCCTCAATTTTTAAACTATTGATTCTCTCATAATAAGCTGTGGTGGGTGGATTCTTTAACCGAAATAAGTGAAAGAAGTGAAGAACTTACAACAGAACGCGGCCTCTCATTATAGGAACGCAGGGAAATGCTACAGTCTTGGTCAAGTGCTCTTCGCCTTCTGTCCGATTCGGTCAAGGGGAGGAGCATGTCCATGGAGCGACTTGTGTAGGGGTCAAGCTGACTGAGGGGTGAGGTGGTCTGGGATAGGAGGTCATGAAACTGTAAGAGAAACACAAAACATATTAACAGTTTGACAGCACTGGCCTCTCTTCAACTCTACTTCTGCCAATAGACAATTTTTTGTTAATTTTAGCTCAATATAAACTTCCTGAGAATCAGACCTCACTGTTTTACTATTCTGAAGCCAATGCTGTCAAAATGCATCTGTAATTAAAGAATATTTTCCTGAAATCAAAAAGGGTATGCTCTGATTAGGAAAACCATTCACCATATAATGCTGCTTAAATCTATAGTTATTTAAGATATATCAACACAAATTACGGATATCTACTGTACCAATCCAAAAAACAGGACGATTTTTTTGCTGTAGAATGGAAGAATAATTTCAACTTTTTTTCAGGTTTTTTTTTTCAATTGCCATTACACTGTCACTAGTACAGAACATCGAAATGAAGTCTCTGCATTGAACCAATCCCTTTGGGGAGCAGTGGGCTGCCATTGTGCGGTGCCCAGCGAGCAGTGTGGGATTAAGGGTGTTGCTTCAAGGAGCCATTGTGTTAGTCTGTGGGAGTGGGGCTTGAACTCAGAACCTCTAGGATCCAAGCTCAATGCCCTAAGCACTGGGTCCCACTCCAAAGTTGCAGTCTTGATGTGTGTGGGAGCCATAAATGAAATTAAGGTAATGTTTTAAAATATAAATATGCAGTGGTGGTTCTGGGCTAAATTTACCAGTGGAGCCAGTACTTTTTGCATTGGGGCATTAAACAAAAGAATATGACAAAAAAAAAAAAAGGCCAAAAGCTCATTGGCTGATAATCAAGTAAACCAAAGAACGATTTGTAGCGCTTGAAAACTCTGATCTAGCAGATGAAAAATGGGATCTTATCTTAATATGACTGAAGCCGAAAATTCAAAAACTTATTTTTGTAACATTGATTAAATAAAACTGCAAAAAAAAAAATAAATAAAGCAACAAAAGGTATTTTAATCATCATCAGAAATGAAACGACCAAACCTCAGCCAATCAGTGGCTCCTAGTTTGTCTGTTACAGCAATAGTGACCTTTCAATTCTTAATGGTCTTAAGCTAACAGTAACTTTGGAAATTACCACTAAAAAGTAGATTCCGACTTTGAGAACAACCGTAGTTCTAATTATACAGTATAATAAATGACAGCGCGTACATCTAAGTAGTTAACAGTTTCATTAAAAAGTTTATACTATTTATTTTAGTAACACAATTCAAAAAGTTTAATTTACTTTATCTTAACATGCATGGTGATATATTT